ACGAACATTCGATGATATTGGCATGACTGGGAGGTTGGTTGGTTATAGATGAGGAGGCATGTTGGACGGTTGAACCGACGACCGATCGGTGAGAGGAGGGACTTCGCCTGCAACTCTGTGTGAGGAGGGCGCGTCTCAATTGCAACACATCAGCAGATTATGAATACGCTGACCCGTTATTTGATGGAAATTAATACGATAAGTTTGTTCAAAACTTCTTTTGTGTTCTAAAATTCTCATCATAATAATTGTAGAATTTTCATAATAAATTTTATTTAAGACACATTTTACTACACAGTGGATTCATCAATTACTGGGTACATCAAAGACATGGTAGAATAATTTGATGTACCAGAAACTAATGAAGCTACGTTTTGAATGAAATGAAAGATTTTTTTAAACAGATTGTGAAATGGCTAGTGTTAAAGAAGGCATCATTATGTCGATAAGAATGTGTCGTGAACTCTTTTCTAAGATAGTATGTGCTGATAAGAGTAAAAAAATTCACCTAAAGTACATTTTTCGAAAAATAACTAAAACTTGATCAATGCTTTGAAATATGACAAATGAATGGAAAATCTGTCTGATCCTAAACTTGACCTTCAAGCTAACCGATCGCTCACGCACTTGTATTAAACTAACACACCTAAAGGAAGTTCAAACTTATAACATAAAAATTATTTTGTTGAGTGTTTTTAATAGTTCATGATATTGTCACTATTTTTCGGGTTCTTCATGACGTTTCGCTGGCTTGAGTGGGCCAGCTTATTCAGGTATAGGTATTAGCATACGCTTTACGCATCCGTAATATCCAGTCACCAGAGATAAACACAGAATGTATAAATCTCTGAAGAAGCTAGCCACTGGCGCCACCGAAAGGCTAGGAAGAAATTCCAAAAATCGGCGACCCTTGAACCCGAAAAATAGTGACACTGAAGGCCGCAAAATGTTAGTTCATGATTGAAATAGGTAACTACTAGAAAAATCAGTTTTTTAGGACAATCATTTCTATAATGAAAATGTTAAATTCATGATGTACGAATACGTGGTTAATTTTTTGAAGTTCACATCTTTTTTTGTTTTGAACACCCTAGACAACCATCTGAACAATGAATATTCAAAATATATATTCTGAGATCGCTGTAAAATGGAAGAAATTAGTATTGCGGAACCAGTGCAATTGAGGCGCTCCTGTCCTCTTTACTGAAGTACAGTAAATTCGTTCGTTCACCAGTCAGAAGAACAACTTGAACAATTTTTGCATCTTGCCCGTTTCCTACACGACCGACTCAAACGGTATTTACACTTGATAGTTGCGAAACAATTCACGTTGGTCGAATTCCACGAAAAGTGCAACCAAGAATCGCAACAAAGTTATCTAATATCGTTAAAAGTGAAGATAATGAAACGATGTTCTTGTTGGAATAGATGGGTAATTTTTATTTTCGATTTGGGTATGAAAGTGAACCAGAGAAATATTACTGATACAATAATATATTGCTAGTTGGTATGTAGAGACTATCCACTAGATATGTATATGAAAACGAAGCTTCAATAACAAGAAATCAAGAAGAATTGAAGAATCAAGGAATTTGCAGTCAACACCACCGGTCTATTTTGACACAAAGTGACCTCTAAAGCTCCCCTCAGCCTACGCCCCTGCATCAGATCCCATTACACTTGATGGACTCCCAACCTGGATCAACACCAACAACTACTTATTGATCAATAAGGGATATGTGCATGGAACACGGGACGAGAGCGAGATGGGAAATAATCCATCGGATCCATGCTGTTATTCATTCCCATAAAAGGGTTTCATTACTAGAGAAATGAGTTTTCTGGAGTGGCAAGAGAAAATTTCTATATTAGCGAGTATCGCACGAATTTTTCTCGGCGAGCTTATCGAGAATTGACGTTGAATTCTTCCAACGTCAATGTCAATGGGGTTCTCCGTAAAGAATGACACTTTTTTCGAATGATTTTAAGTAAAAGTAAGCACAGACAATAACTAGAATTGAATACAACTCCAGACTTGAAATAAAAATGTATCACTAGTATATGATAAATACACGCATACAATGATTGAGACGCGCTAGAATTGGTGTAATTAAAACGGATTTAACCAAAGAAATTCAAATTTATTCGCTAAAAATTGAAACGATGTACTTAATAGGTATGTTTGAGCCAAATGTAGTAAATTTCAACCATCATTTTGGTCAGATACTCCAGACAAATCAACTTGTACACTGAGAATTTGAAATATTCACCTTAGATTCAATTTAATTATTCAATTCTTGTCTCTCACCTTCGTGATATTGCCAACAAAACTCAACAAACACTGCAGTTGAGTGACAATATAAAAAAAATGTGTCAATTTGGTGACAATGAAGTTGTTTATTATATGAAAACTTGGGTGAAATTGTCGTTTTTTCGAGTTGATATTACCAGACGTGAGTTCCAGGAATAGTCGATTTTTTTACTTTTAAGTGGCCGTATCTCCTAAAGTAGACCGGAGCACCAAATTTTACGTTCAGTTTGTGATCAGTGGATGAAAATACGTATAGCCGATACCCTTTTCTTGTAAAATATTGATAAATACCTCTTTTTTTTTATTTTGTTTTGCTCCATTTTCACCACAATATTGTGTTTTTTTCTCACAGCATAATACTGTTTTTCTCGTTTGATATTTCACATAATAGGAATAATATGCACACGTCATATGAAAGATGCTACGGCACTGTACGCACGTCACACCAAGTGATAACATCTCACCCCTGCAATGTTTACACCAATTTATGGATACTTTCTTCATTGTTTTTCCTCTTTTGTTGTTTCCTATATTGACTCAATTACCAGTTTTATAATTCTGTAGGAATGCCACCAAATATAATACTTTTTATCGTATCAGAACAAAAAGTGTTCAAATTCCATTCGTTGTTTTTTTCGTAAAAACGTAGACATTCATGTGAAATTCAGACACAAAAAAGTTTGTACTAGAATTACCAGTGGCAGAACAAATCTTAATTAGTCGTGCGAGTAGATTTCAAATGAGAAGAAAAATATTCTTTTTCTGAGTTTACTTTATATAACGAAGCGGTTTACCATCCCATACGAAGTTATCACTTCAAAAATAAAGGAAACTGTGGCTAACTTCACACTAATGAATTTCAGCCCTATATCCAATTTCTTAATTTTCTCATAGAGTGATGAAGAAACATAAGTAAGACTAATTAATTATCAGAAGCATTTTCATCACTGGTTTTGGATAGTCAATAACTATTACGATAGAATGATGTGCATTAAAAATGGGCGATTTTGAAACTTTCTCTTAAATTCAAAAGACGAACCGAATTTTCAATAACTACTTAATGAACGAAGGAAAGTACTGTTTTGCAATAAAATTATTTGGTTGAAATGCAGAACCTCTTGTGATAAATCATAACAAATATACAGGATGTCGTTTTAGAAACACTAGCTGAATTCGAACGTCTCCCGGTTGCAACTTTTGCAAATTGCATCAAAGATTTATTCACCTCGTCGGTAAATAATGACGATTTGAAGCATGTGTACCGTATTTCTGGCATGAAGACAATATAACGGTCGGTCAAGATTTACGGTTACATGCGATCCCGATTGCATTATTAAAATGAATGATATGAATTTAAATGGATCCGCACGAGTAATACTTGTGTGCCGTTCCAGATACTTTTTCACGATACAGTCATTTTCGAAAATGGTAATTCTTTATAGTAATAAAGAATACTGTCTTTTAATTTTGGTTTTGTCTTGAAGTCTGCTGAAATAATGATAAAATGACCGTGAACCTCACGTTAATTATTTTCGTGTTCCTGGTATCTTTACTGGTTTTTTGGAATAAGTTTCTCATGGGTACGATGAATAACATCCCCTTCTTTCGAATACCGGTTGTCTTATATTTTGTTGGGCATAAACTACTTGTCAAAATCACAATAATGGAGACAAAAAATCTGACTATCATTTTATTTGCGTCTCTGGTATTTTTTGTTTTCGTTTTTATGGTAGAAATGGTGAATATTGATCCTCAATTTTCAATGTCACGTTGTCCCATATTTTGCACCTACATTAAAAAATTGTCTGGTGAAATAATAATGACGACCATAATACTTGGTTCATAATTTTTGTGTTTTTGGTATTCCATTATTGCGTTTTTGAAGAAGTTTAGCACAAGTATCAACTTTGGAATACCAGTTGTTTCATATTTTGTAGGCCATAAATTGCCTGCCGAAATAATGATAGTATTGACCATAAAATTGTGGATAATTAACTACTCGTCGTAATGATAATAATACAGACCAAAAATCTAACGATTATTATATTTGTTACTGTAACCTGTAATCAAATTGACCCAAAATCGTAATGCGGGGTTATTTTTCAGTAAATGTTATGAATGAAAGTAACTCTTCACGTAAAAAATTATTCGTCATCTCTGCTCGATGTAGGTATTTTGATCGAGCAGAGAGAGCGTTAACTTTTATCGGGAATGACAGGTTCTGGAATAAATTAGTGCGAACAAAACACACCCACTAACCGGTCAGTGGCCACGTTGTATCGTTTTCATTACTTTATCGACTTATTTCGGATGCACAAACAGATGACGCATATGTAAAGATCCGTTGACCGTACCAGAGATGCGACAAGTTTCGATAGTCTCGTCCTCGAAAGACAATTTTCATGCTGAAAGGTGATTCAGTTGTTATCTAGGAAAAAGCAGCATTGAGCGCGGGAGGATGTCGTTCAGGCTTTATCGTCGTTCCAACCGGATATCGCAAGCTGGCCTGCTTCGTCGTTGCCCGATACACAGAACGTACGCTGGTAACCTTTGACGGTTTGCTCGTCGCGCTCGTCACTGGACTGGATCAGTGGCGTACTGTTTCGGAGCGCCGATTCGAGAAAGAGGTGGCCGCCTCGTACCCCCGATTTGAGACCGCGATACGAATTTATAAATTTCATAGACTTACCACGTGGACGCTGCTCTGGATCGAGTCCTGCTGTTTCTTATCCTTGCTCTTTGGTACTCTCTTCGCCTTGGCGTCCAGATACCGCTGCTTCAGCTGCATCGTATCCTGCTGGTTCTGCTCGTAGATACCGCTGATCGAGTGGTCGAATCGAGGCATGCAGTCGTTTTGTCTTCTCCGGTACGTTTCTATACGGCGACGTAGCCTGAAAATCAAACAGAATAATTCCAAAGTTTTCTTCACTGATTCCTGCTAATGGCCTGTTAGCTGAGCTGTGTGTATCAAGTGAAAGGGTTTGCTAAAAAGAATACGAAAAGTAACATGACGTAACACTTAATTACATACAACGATCCGCCTAAAAAATCAAGAATATGTCTTTTTCGTGTGTATTTTTTAAAAGTAGTTGGCAAAATTTCAACACATTTTGGTGTAATTGTCAGATTCGCTTTTGAGGAGAAGTGACAGACTGCAAAAATATCCGAAAAAATTGATGGATTTTTGCATTTTCTGAAATGTTGATGCAGTTTTTGAAAACGGCTGTTTTTGTTTGGCTCCTCAATATCTACATAAAATTTCTTGTTAAAATCATCTTTCCTTTTATTAAATTTCAAAAAGGTGACGTTACCTATAGAGGTAAAAAAATATCTCCTCCCTCCTCTAATACTGATTCTGAAGTTATTATTATTGTTACGATTTCAGATATAACGGAATCATTGTAAACGGCGCCATTCACTTGTATTTTGGGTAAAAATTTGAAATTTGGAACGACGCTATAGTTCATTAAAAGTCGATATTCCTAATGAAAAAAAACTAATTGTTCAATCGGAAAGAAACCCAAGTTCTGTATATTTTTAAACCATTTGATAGAATATGAAATTCTTTTTTCATTTCCTTTCAAATTGGCTGCCTATGAGTCATTTTCTCCAAATTGAATATGGCGGCACTATGACGAGGAATGTAGGAAGCTTTGAAACTGTCACTTTTTCACTGACAAAAAAATATCCGGCATAGTATCTTCAACATTTTTTTGTAGTACAAGAGGTACGTACACTTCAACGTCAAAGTTTAAAAAATAACTATTAAGATTTTCTAGATTAGTGAAATAAAATATAGAATTGAAAAAATAAATAGGGAAATTAGTGGAAAAATCAAAATCGCCTTTTGTTCGTCACAACATCAATTTTAAATATGGGATGGATATAATTTTATTATCAAATAAAGTCTTACTGACGTATTTAAATTCTATTTATTTGACAACTGTCATCAACATCTTCTTTCTACTAACAAACTTGATTTAACTAAAAATATTATCAGACATCACATAAAATAAATAAAAAATCTATATACAGAGGGAATAATAAAAACATACATTTTGAATCCAACAATCAAGGTGTTTGACAATATTTTCATGGACAACGCCATAGTGACGCCATCCTCATGGAATTTAAAGAAATTGCATTTTACAGCACCATTTTGAAATAATAGGCACGGTTACTCGTATTATATCTTTGAAAAAAGAATTTTATATTCTTATTAAAAAGTATACGGGGTTTTAATTAAAATGGACTTGTCACTACTTCATTTCCGATCAAACCGAAATAGGTTTTAAATTGTTTTTCATTGGAAATATTGGCTCTAACGATATATACCTTCGTCATGCACAGAAGCAACTGAATAGAGCCGTATATGATGCTTTCGTTCTCACCCGGTATAAACATCAGAATACCTTATACTCTTTATTTTTCTACAACGTTGCCGGTGTTGCCGAATCAGACATCTCCCTCTTGCAGACATCAACGGCGCACAACCCTCTCACATTATTTTTTTTCAGTTTCAATGCACTCTCGATTTTTTCTATTCGTTCTCTCGCCCGTGCAAACGAACGTAACGACGACGGAAATTCGTCAAACTATAGATTCGCCTCGAGCCGTTTCCATAACCAACATTCGTAAACAATAATAATCCTAATGAATGGGAACTGATAATACTGCGACGGACCGCATTTAAACTGTTCCACACACCAACGGAAATGAGCGAGGACCACGTGACTGACGATTTATGAATTATTAATTACATCCAATTGTTATCTATGTACCTTAACAACTGAAAAAGTTTATACATAATCGGCGGTGTCCTCCGCAAGTTCTGATTGCAACATCGCCACGAATCGCCTTTATCGCTTTTCTAAAACGTCTTCGTCACTTTAATTTGCATTAAAGAATTTTCGATAAAAGTACGTGCTTCTGATAGTCTAGTTCATAAGTGAAATTCGTGTTCAAAAGAGATAAAGCTCCAAAAAATATTGATTCAAAATTGTTATCGACAAAAAAAGATGAAAAGAAGAAAGAATTTATTTTTTTTACGTCGATTCTTAATAATTCATTTATAAACAAACGGATAAGTCTAGCATATGAGAAAATTTGCCATCATGAAAAAATGATCTTCGAAAATAAATTCTCTTAATTTTTATTTAATTATGAAAGTTTTTGTAATTGTTTCATTGTTTTAATAGCTAGTTGAGGAATAATTTTTCGGTTCAAAAGTCTTATTTATCATTTCTCAACAGGAAAACAAAAAATATTCATAATTTATTTAATTGTTTATTGAGTTAGAAATTTAAAATTTCATTTCATTTTTCTGAAGGTTATTGAAATTCCAGGAAAAATGATATAATGTAGAGAAAATAATATTTTTTTTATTTTTCATAATACTTTTTAACATTACATGAAAGCGGTCGTTTGATATATTAATAAACAATGATATAATTTTTGAAATATTAGAGATATGATGAAAGACCTTTGGGTAGTTTCTATGAAAAGTCAAATATTATTTGAAATGAAGAATCTGTAGATTTTTTCATATTCTTTATGGCTCCTAACTTGCTAAATATCGCAAATGTTACAAAACAAGTCTGTTTTGTGACGAAATATCTGCCAAATTATCTTTTATTCATATCCATATCTCTTATAGTTTGAATTATTTTCGTGTTTCAATCAACATTTATATAACTCGTGTCCCGTTTACTTATATGATTTTCAAGTTATCTATTGCTTCACTGATTTATATTTTGCTATAATTTTACTATATATGTATTACTTATAATGAGTTATAATTTTTCTCTCCAAAAGTGCTGCTAGGTTTCATATAAAGAATAAAAAAACTTTCAGAGTTTGAGAAAAAACTATTTTTGAATAACCCACGGCAACATATAGAAAATTAAAGTATTCATTATACGAGGTCGGTTAAAAAAATAAGGTGAATTTTCATTTTTCTCAAAAAAATATTTTATTTATTCACCAATTTCTGTTAAAAGTATCACCCCTCATATAAAATGTACTTGTGTCAGCGTTTTATTTTTAATTCCCGAATCAGTTCTGATATGCACTTTTTCGTATGTCCTTTAGTCCTTTAGTTCTCTCAGGTGAATACGATGGCTGGGGCATGATTACAGTGTTGTTTTTGGACAAAAGCCAGCAATTTTTGAACGAACTTCGCTGCCACACGTTCTATGCCCAAAATTTTCGAAAGAAGTGCATGGCATGAGCCAACCGATATGCCTATATCCTCAGCAACTACTCTAATAATGATTCGGCGATTCTCCATAACAATTTTCTTAACTTTTTCAAAATTTTCATCGATTGTTGACAAATTAAACGTGCTAAGCAGCTGAAATTGTGAACATATATTCTTGAAAAGTGTACCAACATTACAAAATGAAAAAATCACTAGTTGAATGTATGTTGCTCGCAAAATTTGAAAATTCTCCTCAATTTTTGAACAGTCCAACAAGTCAATGGAAGGGGTAGACTGTTATATAATCTTAATATGAATCTAAAAAATTCGACCATATGGAACTAAAGTAGTAGTTATGGCTTGCCCCCAGAATTGTTCAGCTAAATCCTTACGTGTTGTGGTGGAATGAAATGTCCCTAATTCATTATCCATTGAAAATGTCATACCACAAAATTCTTCTTTCTATTTCACTTCACCAAAGTAGACATTATTAGTAAAAACTTGAAGGTCGTAGAAAATTCAATGAAACTAAAACGTACACTGGGTTCATATAGATGTGTTTTGTTCAGTCAGTCGATTTGTATAAAATCTTGTCCAAAACATAGACGAAATCTAAAACTTAATGTCAACTTGAACTGTCTCTCGTAGTGTTCAATAAACATAATAAGGAATGTTCTCCCATGGGAGCCAGTGAAAATAGAGAGATGAGAAACTGAACAGGTGATCTTGAAACAATATGTTGTTGAATCATAACTACCTAGAAATTGCAGTTGAAACAAGGAGCTGTTTTTCTAAAGTATTTCAAGGACAGACAAGGAAAATTGAAATGGGTGAATTGTGTGATGGACAAAATACCATACACAAATCTGTAACCTAATAAACTGAATTGAATATTCTGTAGTCTGATTTTTTACAATGCAGTGTAGTTCATTTGAGATGAAAGTTACACCAGAAAAAACAAAAAAAAAATAAAGCTTACATTTTACATTATTTTAAGAGTTACAGAATGTGACACAATAAGATATCTTCGAAAGGACTAACTTACCTTTCGACTACGGCTTGCTTTGGCGTAACCTCAGAATGAAGAGATGGCAGGCCCGGGGGTCCCGGGGGCTGTGGGACGACGGGGGGTACAGTTCCTCCGCCGTCTAGGCAACCCCCTGGACCAGAGTTAGCTCGATCCAGCGTGTCGAAAGATCAGTCCTCCATCACATCGCAGTCACAGAAAAGTCACAACACCTTGAACATAAACATAACATCAGAAACTGTCTTCATGTAAATTTGGAGCAGGTTTTGGTGAGCGTTGAGGGAGATTTTTCATTCATGGCTGCTTTTTCTTCAAACACATTTGGAATAAGACTCCTTCTGCGTTGTGTCCATATGCATTTTGCGGAAATGTACGGTCTTCATTTCTCTGGGATTTTCAGTGCATTTTTACTGGTAAATGATGCACTATTAATTCAAATTCGTTTTGAAAATAGAACAATTAACAGAATTCAGTGAACTTTTAACAGGTTGTTTCAACACATGCCAAACGTTTACAAAGCCAACTTCGTTAATTCCGATCTTTCGGAGTCACTATTGGATTTTCTTGACGAATAATATTATTTCGCAGAAATTAGTTGATTCGCAGGTTATAAACACAACTTCTTGATACTTGGGGGATATTTTCTGGAATAGCGAAGATGTCTTCAATGAGAAAATAACGTCAAACATGTAGTCTGCATACTCTCTTCTTTAAACAATTCACTGAAGTCGCAATAGAGTTTCTCAATTGTTTCACAACCACTTTATAACAATACAACTTTCGCTCACCGTCAAAACGCAGCCATGTTTTGGCGTGCCAGTGTAGCCACCTGTCGTGTAATAAAATCATAAAAGGAAGGATAGGCAAGCAAACGGCAATCCCAACGATGCGTCGCGTGTGCCACTATTTGAAAATCACACGCAACGTTGCCGTCATAGAAACTTTTTATGCAAATCTGATATGTGACTAGATTATAAAAATGCTTTGATATCTTAGACTGTCAGAACAATTTTTTTACTGATTTTCAAAATGTAAAGTGTATGCAAATCACAATGTTGTTTCACTTCACAACATATTCTTTAGACGTGTTCAATATTATTGAGATTTTTTTGCGATTTTATAAACTGTGATGAAAATCTCACAATAAATTGTTGAATACCTTCGGTAATAGTGCCCGATCATCAGATAATTTTGTATATCATTTTATTATGTTTCACTATATTCTATGCAAAAATTAGAATGTGAGTGTTTCAAACTCACATAATAAAATATCAAATAAATACTCCCCAAAACTTTTACATGGCAAAATTTCTATCATTATTAATTTCTGAAGATTTTTATTGATCATGAATCTGTATATATTTTTATCAAGTGAGCAAATCCATACTTTTCGAAATTTTGCTGAGCAAATGAATTGAGTGTATAATAATTTGAAAAAATCGTAAGCATTTTGATCGATTAGGTTTGGTATACGAGTGATATACACATATAATTTGTTGAGATTATTTCCATATCGAAAACGGTATACTCACATTACACAAAAACTTGTTGAAATAATCCCAAGTTGAGAATTTCGAAGTTTCTCATAAATTCCTTCAAAAAATTCAAGCTAGTCTTCTTCTTTTCGAAAATGTACGGAAAAAAATCAAAATTTCGAATTCGGAGTTTTAACTTTGCAACATTTTGTAGATTTTCAAAATACGTTGAAAAATTTGTTATTCAGGTAGTTGACACCTTCAAATAAGAACCTGAATGTTTACTGCTACGTCAGTATCTTTTGCAAGATACTGAGACGTTATCACATTTGGTTTTAAATAATTTCCAGCACGAGTGTTTTGTTAAGAATGATTTATAGAAAAAAAACCGGCAAATTCCCATTCAAGAAGTTTTAATACCGCTATTTCCAAAAAATTTGCAAATTGTAGACATAGAAAATACGCCACACTGGAAGTCAAAATATTCAAATTATAACATAGTGTATTGCGTGTTCTTGATGCTTTTGAATAATAAAGTATGTAAATACAAGCTACAAAATACAATTTGTTATAATTTGCCACACAAACAAGTTGTTCAAAATAACATCTTAGTCACTTTGTTTACATAAGGAATTCATCCACAAGATTGCCGGCAACAGTGTTTAACTCTATAAAAGCAATTCCAGCATAATCAAGAATGGCAAACAATTTTTGTTTTTATTTATTATTTATACAATTGAAGAGGCGATGGCTGTCTCTGTCTTATTACACGTTATCGTTTATTTTTCTAACTAACCACGTTTTCGAATTTGATAATTAATTTAGAACTTTTACTAATATTTTGTACGATCCATAAAATTATTTTACATATCGATATTTTTGATAAATATGTTATAATCAGAAATAAATTTTCGATACATTGAATAATTAGATATTTAACATGATTTATTGAACGATTATGGATAAAATTATGTATTTCCAGTTACTAAATTTGTCTGTACTGACAAGGAGGCAACTACTTTACCACTCTAGTGTAATGTTAGTTGCCTAACCTAATGATGTTCTTATGAGGCACTGTTTGGAACCTTTGGTGTAGTAATGAATGTTACTGGAGATTAAACAGTTTAATCTTCCTCTTGAAGATGATCACTTGGTGATCGAAACACGTGTCGAGGTGTTAAAAATAACGATTTGGTGTTGGGAAAGAAACTCCAGTAACATTTATGATGTCCTATAAAATCGACGATGGTTAACTAGTTTTTTGATAATCACCTGAAAAATTTACTCAATGCCATTCAAATCGTTTTACCTTTCTTCATTTTTTATTAATTAGTGTCAACTGATTATTTATGATTTTTTTTGTTGCAATCTCAGCTGAAACCGGAGCCCATAAAACAACGCATTCATGATAAAACACCAGATAACGCTGTTTCGACCCGCCATAGACTTCATCAGCAGTGGTGGTCCGCTGATCAAAGATAAACAGAACCTCGTTTATCTTTGATCTTTGGGAGACGGTCTATTTCAAAGCCAAGCTTGGTCATTGATCACCGAACGATAATGAGAATTGGGAGGGAATTGAGAATTGAAAACTGAGAATTTGGAATTGAGAATTGTTGAGGTTGAGGATTGGGAATTGAGGAGTGAGAAATGATGATTAACGATTGATGATTAAGGATCAGGATGAGGATTGAGAGTTGAAAATTGTGAAAATTGGGAAATTGACATTCAAAAATTAATAAGTACGACAAAATTAGGACTTTAAGATGACTTCGTAAAGTTCAAGTCAGCTGCTCATCAGGTTCACCTATCTACTTTGTCATCATTCATATTCTTATTCATTTTAGGGAATTTTGAAGGTTTATGAAATGCAATTTGTATAAATCTACGAATTTTCATTTCGGAGTTAAAACATTCATAAATTGGTAGAGTGGTTAAAAATTTAGAGAGAACAGGTGAATGGACGCCTATTTTCATTGCAGTGCTGGTATTCACTTAACGATAGTAAGTTATATCCATAATTAATGTATCTATGGCAACGAGAGTAATATTCGAAACGGTTCAATACAAATAATGTATATAAAATACACTTTCCATAATGCTTCTTCATGCATAAAAGCCATTCCGAGCAGGCGGCAAACCCCTCTGTTTCTGCTCTGCTTCTGCTAATTGTCGTATCCTTCCTGTTTCATTTGGAATTCAACTCAATTTTCACATTTCATTGTGATTTTGTTCGAGAACCTAGTCGACCTGTTTGATAATTTCATTTGCCTCTACTCGAGTGACTAATGGAACAATAAAACCTTACCGTGAATCGTGAATTAGTCTTGTTAATGTCGTTAATCATGAACTTAGGTCGGGATGGAATAACATGTATCACTTGATTCAGTTAATAGCTTTCTACAAGTGAGACGACTTGGTGAATTTTGACTGAGTTTGTAGACGAGAAATGGCTGTGATATCATTGGTTGGCAGCAAGGTGATTTTAGCACTGTTCAACTTTATTTTATTGGTGAGTTGTTTTCATGTTTTCCATGAGTCAGAATCGCTCTTAACGAACGATAACAATGAAGTTGAAATGCCAAAAATGTTCCCCAATTCATGTGTGGACATATCTAGAGTCGGAAATTGTATATCGAAAGTTCAAATCTTCAGAAATAAGCCCTTTTTTCGGGACAACACTTATTCCATCGATAATTTATTTCATGACTTGTTGTTTATTAAAATTCCAGTTTATTCCAAAAAATGTTTGTAATGTTCACCATCAACTTCCTAGCAATAATAAAGTCTGTTTTTAAATTTAATTCTTACTTTACATTTTGTCTATAATTTTTTCAAAGGTCCTGATTTTTTCAATTGTGACTAATAATCGTAATGCAGTTACGTTAATTTTAATATTAAAATAATCAATAAAGATACTTTCAATCGTCGTTATTTCCAAGTGAGAAATATTTCCATATTTTTTGTATTATTTGTAAAATTAATCTCTCCTGAAAATACACCCCTTTCAATTTTAAAGTCTGTATTTTTCCAGGCATGCGGGTTCGCACTGGTAACTGGAGGCATGCTGGTCCTCTTCGATAACGAAAGGGTGCTTCTCTCAAAGCTTTTATCGACGGGACAATTATCTAATCTTCCCCATCCGCTCCTTCACTACATCTCGATTGGCGTGGCATTGCTTGGAGTGCTTCTTGCAGCCACTGGCATCCTGGGATGCTGGGCTTCCTGTCTGCACAATTATTATTTGTTGACCCTGGTGAGCGGATCATGTTTTCATTGATTAATGTGAAGAGTTACATTAAATATTTAATTTATACATGCCAATAGATTATCTGATATATGTTTTTACATTCTAGTATTTTCTAATAATAATGATAGTCCTGGTTGGGGAGTGTGCCATTTACGTGGTTGCATGGGTATGGCCGAGTTGTATGGGTTTGGGCCTCGAAGTGGATGATTTGATCAAAGCTTTACAGAAAAACTATGGTATCAGTGGCCAGGAGCAATTTACTGTAGCAGTAGATTTAGCCCAAACGACGGTAGGTGAAGGAAATGACAAAAAATCTGTTGCAATTTTTTATCTTTTCTATTATCTATAGGAATTGGATATTTTCATCTTCCACCATCTGAAAAAATGAAAATTGTAATAAAAAACTTTATACATGTTATGATGAGTGTCAACAATGTTCTTCATAACATTTTTTCTTTTCTAAATTGTGGATGGTGAAAATATAAGAAAAACACTGATTTTCACCATAAAAATGACAAGGGAAATTATTTCTAGTTCAACTGTTGTGGAATAGATTCTGCAAACGAATACGATACTTCTCTGTGGAGACTCCAAGGATTTGGTCCTTCATTGGCTGTTCCATTATCTTGCTGCAAATTAATGAATGCTAATCAATCCAAGGCATACTTAAATCCAGAACCAGTGAGTCCAACCCTGTGCCAAGCACTGGAAAGAAATCGTCATGAAGGGTTTCGTCATTTGACTGTAAGTCTTTTCGAGATTTGAGATTAATTATTAGGAGATAGGAACTAGATTTAATTAAGAATTGAGAATTGAGAATGGAGAATGGAGAATTGAGAATTGAGAATTGAGAATTGAGAATTGAGAATTGAGAATTGAGAATTGAGAATTGAGAATTGAGAATTGAGAATTGAGAATTGAGAATTAGGACATTCTACCCTAGAAACAACATCAAAAAATATTTACACTTCAGTTTTGGAGTTGTCCTATTGAACTTTGTCCCTTCATAGTTGTTCAACAAATTTTGATAGTTTAAGGTAACGGATTTTTTTAGTTTTGCTGCTCAAGCTCAAAGTCCGCTTAGTTTTGTCTACCTCGTTTAGACTTGTCGACTATACTGTACAAGTTTTTTGTTATATTTGACAACTAATTTTTTTCTCTTTATGCAGGGTTGTAGTAATAGCTTGGAACAATGGTATCGTGATCACTACATCACTTTCCTGGGAGTGGGTCTAGTAATCGTTCTGGTAGAGTTCGGCGTCCTTCTCACCACCATATTAACCTGCACGAGACTGTATCACCACAATCAAGAAATCAAGGAGAACCACATGAATACCCAACAGGAACCTGAAAGTCCCCCCTCCACCAGAGAAACGAGTTTCAGAAGACCAACCGACTCTGATGTTGGTGCATACAGCAACGAAACATATGCGCTTCCGGGAAATTTCAAACATAATTACAAGTTAATGAATAGAGCATGATGGTGGTTGAAGGGCCTTTGTTCGCCCAGTTATGTATATGAAGTTGAGGTTGAATCGATGTTGTGGTAATCACAGATTGAATTGTCATGAAACGCAGGTTTAAAAATCTTTTAACGTCGAAATTTATATACATATTCAAAGAAATACGATTATTTTTTCTAAAGGAAATCAAATGCTCGTTTTTTATAAATATGTCAAATACTCTTTTGAATTGCTACAAACTATATGCTCTTTAATTCAAAGAAATTATTCTTCTATAAATCGAGAAATTGATATTCTCAACTTCCGTTATAAATGTTAGTCAAGAATAACTAACGGATTTTTTAATAGGTTCTGGCTAAAACCTATGAAAAAAATTCGGACAGAAACTTGCGTTGGAAAATTGAAAATTAGATAATTTGAAACAATGTTTATATTTATGTACTCTATTTGTGTAAACATTTATCTGTAAGCCTACTTTTAATATTTTGTCAAAGAGAGATTGAATCTCACGAGCTTTTTTTATTTTTCGAGTAAAATAAATCTCATTTTATACTTTCAAGTGGTTTTGAGTGTTTTCGTAGTAGAAGAAGTTATAGTTCAACTTATATCTCGTACTTTTTATTCTTGCCAATAGATTAGGTTGAGCATTAACAGTTATCAATACAAAAATTCTAATAAAAAAAATGTCTTTAAATTTTCTAATCGTAGTTGGATAATTTTATGAATCTTCGCGTAAATATGTTTTTTTAGGTGGACCCGTCCCTGTCATCTGGAATGCGTATTCGGAGATTGAAAAACTTGTTACGTTTTGGGTCAATACACCATGATAAATTTTGTTGTAACAGGATATCAGGTCATTATCGGTTTCAATTGGTAATTCTAAAATAAAGTGTTTTCAGCTTGAACTGAGTTGTTTTGAATATAGTAGGTAAACTCAGAATTATTGAATGAAGTCATGAACTTCTTTTTCAATTATTTTGTATCTCTCTTTGAACTTCAATTGTATATAAAATGTCTATACCTACTCACAAGATTTGAATCTTTATTTATTTCAACAATATTACATATTTATTATGTTTCGGTTTATCGGATAGGTACATAAGCATAATTTATCGAATAAACACAACCTATTAAGAAAGGGAGATTACATCCCTTTAGTTGAGAGTTATCACTTTTGTTATTTTATTGATTATTTTGTTTAAAAAAATAAAAATTCTTGAAATAACTGAACCTTAAAAGGTTGTTTATTCATCCGATAAACCGATCCTTAGTTTTATACTCTATGATGAATAGTATTTGTTTCAATCTATTCATATACACCACAAGATTTGTTGATGAGATTACTCTCATTATTTAATATGTTTACTTAGTTGTTCCTATTTTTCATTGCATCATTAGCTAGGTGCCCGGTTTATCTGTCATAAAATTCAAATAAATAAAATTTTTATGTTTCTCTTGTTTCCGTCAATTTTGATGAAATAAATCTTTTCACTTCTTTCAACTGTTCAAAACGTCAGACCAACAAATCATTATCTAACAGAAAAGTTCACTTAAAAACTGTCCGATAAAAAGATACGATGCACCTATTAAGTCTTGTGAAATAAATGTATTTGAATTCTAGTTTAGTGACCGACTAACTACTTGGCTGGACCAAATACCTTTCAACCAAGAAAAGCGCCGAAGTAGATTTTCGCAAATACTGTCTCGCAAATACTTATGGTTCAAAAAACTACTTTGAAATAATTTTTGATGATTTCTTGTGATATCCTCCCTATAAGTATATCCTACAGATATTACAACTTCTGATTCAACAAACAATATCGAAATTCAATAATATATTATCATGTAACAATCTGATGGAAAGAGAAGTAATGATAAGTATAGCTAGCCAACTTGCAGAGTCTCAGTTTCTTGTGGCATACCACGAGTTACAGATATCCAGAGAACAGAAGAATAGTGAAAATGTACTTGCGGGTGAATGTGCTTACAATTTTTGTTTTGATCTATACGTTTGCAAGAGTAGAACCTCGTTTATTTGAGAACACATTCGACAACGGACTACGTGAGTGCTTTCTTTTTGTCTCTCATTACTATGCATGTGTCTTGTAGAAAGTATATATGCATGTATAGGTATTTCATGATAATTCGTACCTATATCAAGTTCAGTTAAATCACATTGCAACTTACGATTATGAATCTATTCACGAACATACTTTTTTTTTTGTAATCTGGTATGTTCATTAATTGTAATTATCTTTGTCATAGACATTTTTATAACATTTTCCGGATAGTTAAGTAGAAACGTGATGATTTCGTAAGAATTGATTTTTGTATTTTTCTGTAAAATGAAATATCCGTTAGAAAACTATACCTACATGTTTTACTTATGGTACTGTTTCTTATGGAGTTTTGAGTAAATGTGTTCCTTAACCTTATTATGCATTATATTACAATGCATTTTTCAAGGCCTCTAATAATAGTACATATAGGTAGGTATTTATTTCATTCCTTTCAACCTTCTATGCCTTTCTTTATTTTGCAAACTTTCAGATAACTTACAAAAACAACTAGCGAGTCATTTCCGCATAACAAACTACAGAGAGATGGAAATGGAAAAATTCAAAGAAGTCTTGGATAATTTAAACATTTTAGGTCGATTGAAACAACTTTTTGACCCGGATAGGGCGCTATGTGGAATTTGCCAATTATTAATAACTCAAATACAGAGGAGAACGTTAACTATCAGAAACGTGGGAGAAGCTCTTTGTAATATTTACATTACCCTATCCACGTGGACGGTATCCAACTTCTGTGCAAACATTATTAATAAAAATATGGTAAATCTATTTTCTCTGCTCAATCAAAACTTTTGAATATCATAAAAACTTTTTTTTTCTTATTGATTCGGCCGTTACTTGATGAAGATCCATAGTAATTTAATAAACTACAACTCACAATTTGATCTCCACAAACTTTATTTGAAAAATATATCGGGACATGTTTCGCTAACACAGTAGCTTCTTCAAATATAAAACTTGAATTTTTCAGCCCGTTTTAGAATATATTGTGAATAATAGTAAAATATTGGATCCAGAGTTCGGATGCAGTGTCATTTTGCAAAATAAAAAGTGCTATTACCCAAAACCAGCTTTAAAATGGAAAATTTCGGTACCTCCGATTTCACAGAAAAAAATTCCTCAAGTGAGTATATATCCTTCATGCATACTCAATGTAATAGAAAAATTATATTTTCTACATTTCATCAATTACCATTCGTCAAATAAACCTAGAAAATCTGAAAATAACATTTTGTTAAGCGAAAATCTATTCTTTGAATTTGTTGATTTCAATGATCAAGACGAAAATGATGTGGTGTTAAAATCAGTTTTTCCGTTAACCAGCTGTCTCTCTTCCCTATGAACGACAACCCTCGGAATTCGAAATTTATTCGAGCTTAGGATTAACAGGATCTTACGTTTTAACGTGCAATTTCTAACACGTATTTACATTGTAGCAACGTTCTCAAAATAAAAGTTTGGTAAATGAATAAGGGTAGCATCATTGTATATTAGTCTACATACAAAGGTAGCATTAAAATCTTGATTCAAAGAAAAACACTCAAATGAGAAATTTGAGAAATTGAAAACAAAATATTTTATTTTGGTTACTGTTCAAGAGATGGCGAAGGAGTAGGTAACGTATATTTAGTCATTGTGTATAGATTTAATTTAGTTTTAGTTAGAAATATTGCTTAGAGTACTGGTAAAACTAATATTTTATTCATAATACTGAATTCAAAGTACCGAGTTCATAGACCTTCCAAACAATGTACCCTTTGCCGGTATCTGTACCTGGTGGATAAATGCATCCTTGAATCCCTCAGTTCCAATTTTTTCACAGAGATGGCCTGTCATTCAAGTAAATTGAGGTATCCAGTGTTTTCTATAGAATGTTTTCATATTTATCATCGATCATGATGTAAAATATCTGAAATTTTTCTAATGTTATTGATAATTCATTTCGACTGAAGTATATTGTAGTGTTAATGATAGTGAAGATTCTGAATGTTTTTCTGAACGTTCACAAGAGCACCACCAGAGGCGCTACCATTTGGGGAAATTTATTCAAATTCAAGGTCAATTCGAGTTTAAATTCTAAAATATTTTCAGATTTGAACATTTCGAAAACAAAAAAGTCAATTATTTAAAATAATTGAAAAATACATATATTTTCGCGATTTATTATTCAAAAGAAGCATCGAATATACCTGATGGAAAGAGAAGTAATGATAAGTGAGAATTGAGAATTGAGAATTGAGAATTGAGAATTGAGAATTGAGAATTGAGAATTGAGAGTTAAGAATTAGGACATTCTACCCTAGAAACAACATCAAAAAATATTTACACTTCAGTTTTGGAGTTGTCCTATTGAACTTTGTCCCTTCATAGTTGTTCAACAAATTTTGATAGTTTAAGGTAACGGATTTTTTTAGTTTTGCTGCTCAAGCTCAAAGTCCGCTTAGTTTTGTCTACCTCGTTTAGACTTGTCGACTATACTGTACAAGTTTTTTGTTATATTTGACAACTAATTTTTTTCTCTTTATGCAGGGTTGTAGTAATAGCTTGGAACAATGGTATCGTGATCACTACATCACTTTCCTGGGAGTGGGTCTAGTAATCGTTCTGGTAGAGTTCGGCGTCCTTCTCACCACCATATTAACCTGCACGAGACTGTATCACCACAATCAAGAAATCAAGGAGAACCACATGAATACCCAACAGGAACCTGAAAGTCCCCCCTCCACCAGAGAAACGAGTTTCAGAAGACCAACCGACTCTGATGTTGGTGCATACAGCAACGAAACATATGCGCTTCCGGGAAATTTCAAACATAATTACAAGTTAATGAATAGAGCATGATGGTGGTTGAAGGGCCTTTGTTCGCCCAGTTATGTATATGAAGTTGAGGTTGAATCGATGTTGTGGTAATCACAGATTGAATTGTCATGAAACGCAGGTTTAAAAATCTTTTAACGTCGAAATTTATATACATATTCAAAGAAATACGATTATTTTTTCTAAAGGAAATCAAATGCTCGTTTTTTATAAATATGTCAAATACTCTTTTGAATTGCTACAAACTATATGCTCTTTAATTCAAAGAAATTATTCTTCTATAAATCGAGAAATTGATATTCTCAACTTCCGTTATAAATGTTAGTCAAGAATAACTAACGGATTTTTTAATAGGTTCTGGCTAAAACCTATGAAAAAAATTCGGACAGAAACTTGCGTTGGAAAATTGAAAATTAGATAATTTGAAACAATGTTTATATTTATGTACTCTATTTGTGTAAACATTTATCTGTAAGCCTACTTTTAATATTTTGTCAAAGAGAGATTGAATCTCACGAGCTTTTTTTATTTTTCGAGTAAAATAAATCTCATTTTATACTTTCAAGTGGTTTTGAGTGTTTTCGTAGTAGAAGAAGTTATAGTTCAACTTATATCTCGTACTTTTTATTCTTGCCAATAGATTAGGTTGAGCATTAACAGTTATCAATACAAATTCTAATCGTAGTTGGATAATTTTATGAATCTTCGCGTAAATATGTTTTTTTAGGTGGACCCGTCCCTGTCATCTGGAATGCGTATTCGGAGATTGAAAAACTTGTTACGTTTTGGGTCAATACACCATGATAAATTTTGTTGTAACAGGATATCAGGTCATTATCGGTTTCAATTGGTAATTCTAAAATAAAGTGTTTTCAGCTTGAACTGAGTTGTTTTGAATATAGTAGGTAAACTCAGAATTATTGAATGAAGTCATGAACTTCTTTTTCAATTATTTTGTATCTCTCTTTGAACTTCAATTGTATATAAAATGTCTATACCTACTCACAAGATTTGAAACTTTATTTATTTCAACAATATTACATATTTATTATGTTTCGGTTTATCGGATAGGTACATAAGCATAATTTATCGAATAAACACAACCTATTAAGAAAGGGAGATTACATCCCTTTAGTTGAGAGTTATCACTTTTGTTATTTTATTGATTATTTTGTTTAAAAAAATAAAAATTCTTGAAATAACTGAACCTTAAAAGGTTGTTTATTCATCCGATAAACCGATCCTTAGTTTTATACTCTATGATGAATAGTATTTGTTTCAATCTATTCAAATACACCACAAGATTTGTTGATGAGATTACTCTCATTATTTAATATGTTTACTTAGTTGTTCCTATTTTTCATTGCATTATTAGCTAGGTGCCCGGTTTATCTGTCATAAAATTCAAATAAATAAAATTTTTATGTTTCTCTTGTTTCCGTCAATTTTGATGAAATAAATCTTTTCACTTCTTTCAACTGTTCAAAACGTCAGACCAACAAATCATTATCTAACAGAAAAGTTCACTTCTAAAAACTGTCCGATAAAAAGATACGATGCACCTATTAAGTCTTGTGAAATAAATGTATTTGAATTCTAGTTTAGTGACCGACTAACTACTTGGCTGGACCAAATACCTTTCAACCAAGAAAAGCGCCGAAGTAGATTTTCGCAAATACTGTCTCGCAAATACTTATGGTTCAAAAAACTACTTTGAAATAATTTTTGATGATTTCTTGTGATATCCTCCCTATAAGTATATCCTACAGATATTACAACTTCTGATTCAACAAACAATATCGAAATTCAATAATATATTATCATGTAACAATCTGATGGAAAGAGAAGTAATGATAAGTATAGCTAGCCAACTTGCAGAGTCTCAGTTTCTTGTGGCATACCACGAGTTACAGATATCCAGAGAACAGAAGAATAGTGAAAATGTACTTGCGGGTGAATGTGCTTACAATTTTTGTTTTGATCTATACGTTTGCAAGAGTAGAACCTCGTTTATTTGAGAACACATTCGACAACGGACTACGTGAGTGCTTTCTTTTTGTCTCTCATTACTATGCATGTGTCTTGTAGAAAGTATATATGCATGTATAGGTATTTCATGATAATTCGTACCTATATCAAGTTCAGTTAAATCACATTGCAACTTACGATTATGAATCTATTCACGAACATACTTTTTTTTTTGTAATCTGGTATGTTGATTAATTGTAATTATCTTTGTCATAGACATTTTTATAACATTTTCCGGATAGTTAAGTAGAAACGTGATGATTTCGTCTTCTGTAAGAATTGATTTTTGTATTTTTCTGTAAAATGAAATATCCGTTAGAAAACTATACCTACATGTTTTACTTATGGTACTGTTTCTTATGGAGTTTTGAGTAAATGTGTTCCTTAACCTTATTATGCATTATATTACAATGCATTTTTCAAGGCCTCTAATAATAGTACATATAGGTAGGTATTTATTTCATTCCTTTCAACCTTCTATGCCTTTCTTTATTTTGCAAACTTTCAGATAACTTACAAAAACAACTAGCGAGTCATTTCCGCATAACAAACTACAGAGAGATGGAAATGGAAAAATTCAAAGAAGTCTTGGATAATTTAAACATTTTAGGTCGATTGAAACAACTTTTTGACCCGGATAGGGCGCTATGTGGAATTTGCCAATTATTAATAACTCAAATACAGAGGAGAACGTTAACTATCAGAAACGTGGGAGAAGCTCTTTGTAATATTTACATTACCCTATCCACGTGGACGGTGTCCAACTTCTGTGCAAACATTATTAATAAAAATATGGTAAATCTATTTTCTCTGCTCAATCAAAACTTTTGAATATCATAAAAACTTTTTTTTTTCTTATTGATTCGGCCGTTACTTGATGAAGATCCATAGTAATTTAATAAACTACAACTCACAATTTGATCTCCACAAACTTTATTTGAAAAATATATCGGGACATGTTTCGCTAACACAGTAGCTTCTTCAAATATAAAACTTGAATTTTTCAGCCCGTTTTAGAATATATTGTGAATAATAGTAAAATATTGGATCCAGAGTTCGGATGCAGTGTCATTTTGCAAAATAAAAAGTGCTATTACCCAAAACCAGCTTTAAAATGGAAAATTTCGGTACCTCCGATTTCACAGAAAAAAATTCCTCAAGTGAGTATATATCCTTCATGCATACTCAATGTAATAGAAAAATTATATTTTCTACATTTCATCAATTACCATTCGTCAAATAAACCTAGAAAATCTGAAAATAACATTTTGTTAAGCGAAAATCTATTCTTTGAATTTGTTGATTTCAATGATCAAGACGAAAATGATGTGGTGTTAAAATCAGTTTTTCCGTTAACCAGCTGTCTCTCTTCCCTATGAACGACAACCCTCGGAATTCGAAATTTATTCGAGCTTAGGATTAACAGGATCTTACGTTTTAACGTGCAATTTCTAACACGTATTTACATTGTAGCAACGTTCTCAAAATAAAAGTTTGGTAAATGAATAAGGGTAGCATCATTGTATATTAGTCTACATACAAAGGTAGCATTAAAATCTTGATTCAATGAAAAACACTCAAATGAGAAATTTGAGAAATTGAAAACAAAATATTTTATTTTGGTTACTGTTCAAGAGATGGCGAAGGAGTAGGTAACGTATATTTAGTCATTGTGTATAGATTTAATTTAGTTTTAGTTAGAAATATTGCTTAGAGTACTGGTAAAACTAATATTTTATTCATAATACTGAATTCAAAGTACCGAGTTCATAGACCTTCCAAACAATGTACCCTTTGCCGGTATCTGTACCTGGTGGATAAATGCATCCTTGAATCCCTCAGTTCCAATTTTTTCACAGAGATGGCCTGTCATTCAAGTAAATTGAGGTATCCAGTGTTTTCTATAGAATGTTTTCATATTTATCATCGATCATGATGTAAAATATCTGAAATTTTTCTAATGTTATTGATAATTCATTTCGACTGAAGTATATTGTAGTGTTAATGATAGTGAAGATTCTGAATGTTTTTCTGAACGTTCACAAGAGCACCACCAGAGGCGCTACCATTTGGGGAAATTTATTCAAATTCAAGGTCAATTCGAGTTTAAATTCTAAAATATTTTCAGATTTGAACATTTCGAAAACAAAAAAGTCAATTATTTAAAATAATTGAAAAATACATATATTTTCGCGATTTATTATTCAAAAGAAGCATCGAATATACCAAGTATTCACAACTAATCAGTTAGAATGTTTGGACAAAATCCAATAACTTTAAGTATAACACTTATTTCTTGATAGGTAGAATTGGAACCTCTGCAATAACTCTATTCAACATTTTTCTCACTGCAGAACTCTCGATGCGCGTTTTTTAAACCAAGTTAGTATCATCAGACAGAATATTTGATGTGCTATGTAAAAGTGTTTTCAATAGAGACACATTTCTGTCTCTCCTCTGTTCCATTCAATTGTCTCATATTATTTGTTCAGAGTACATAATATATTTTTGCTTTGAATATCTTTATTTTCTTCAGATAACAGCTAATCCAGAGTCCAAACCGCTAAAAATTCTTCATTTGACTGACTTTCATATCTCACTAGACTATGAAATTGGGGGCGTAAGCGACTGCGGCTACCCTACTTGTTGCAAAAAAAATATTGGGAATCCGATTCGGGGAAGAACAGCAGGTCCCTGGGGCGATTACAACTGTGATCTTCCCCCCTGGGTATTTGGCGAGACTTTGAGGCACATCAACAGTACACATCCAGTAAGTTTTCATTTTTGTGCTCCGACAGGTGTTGAATTTTGTAAAATTTTCAGGATATAGACATCGTTTATTTCACAGGGGACGTGATAGATCACTCATTATGGGAAACTTCTGAGGAAGGAAATACAAAACTGATTTATTATGCATACAAGGCTCTATTCGAGACATTCAAAAACAAATCGGTGCTATCTGTGATTGGGAATCATGAAGCAGTACCTTTGAATGTGTAAGTTTGAATCATCAATCTCTATGGAATAGTTGATGTAGGAACATCGTAATTTTTCATACAGTTTTGCACCTCCTAACCCAGAGATAGAAGAGGCAGGTTTATCTTCGCAATGGATGTATACACTATTCTCCAAGGTATGGAAGCCTTGGTTGGCAGCTGAAGCTTTGAGAACAGTCAAGTCACAAGGATATTATGCCCATGAAGTTAACTCCAAATTGAAAATTATAGCACTGAACAACAACCTGTGTTATAACTACAATTGGTGAGTACCATTATATTTTGGTATTCTGTAATTACCTTGTTGGAGGATCAAAAATGCAAACGCCAAATCACTCAAAGATCGAGTTTTCGTCTTATATCTATTTTTTAGCGTATGTTAGCATATCTCAAGCATATATGCTACATTGCATATATCATATATTTCTTCAATGTCAGTGATGTACCTGTACCTAGTTCCGATGAGACGGACTTATACTTTGTTTTCCAGGTGGGTTCTTTATGACACAAACTTTCTCTCGCAACAAATTAAGTTCCTATGTAGGGAATTGCAAGAGTCAGAGAAGAAGGATCAGTTTGTTCACATCATCGCTCATGTTCCTGTAGGAAATAAGGAATGCATTGAACCGTGGGAAGAAAATTTCAATGCAATTGTTGAAAGGTGAGGACAAATTAAAAAACGACTAAAACTTTCTTCACAGTTGTGTCCTATTTTTTCACAGATTTTCTCACATCATCAAAGGCCAATTTTATGGACATACACACACAGATGAGATGAAAATATTTTACGATAGCTCCAAAGCTCCAGTTAATCTTGGTTACAATGGCGCCAGTTTAACGCCTTGGGTAAAATTTAATCCCAACTACAAAATAATAACCGTTGATCCGACTACTTATGTAAGTATTTTTGATGGATGGATAAAACAAAACTCTCCTTACATAATTTTGGTCGGAATATCAGCATTTTTTTGGTATATAGGTGAATATTTTCTAGGATGTATTGGATATAGATACTTACATTTTCAACCTCGCAGAGGCCAATGCGAACCCTGAGATGACTCCCAGGTGGTTCAAATTATATTCCATGAAAGAAGCTTATGGTCTAGACCACCTTACTCCAGAAAAGTTTGACCAATTGGCTGTGAAAATGTTCAGAAACAATACTTTGACAGAGTTATACTGGAGGTGGGTAAATTCTTTTGAAATAGTCTTTCAAAGTATTCAACAACTCAACATTTTCTAGATTCTCTGTTCGAGATGGAGATCTTGCAAGGAAAGACGGCTGTAATAGAGAGTGCAAAAAAGAATTGCTCTGTAGGATTGTTACTACACGGTCGCTTGCACCGAGTAAACACGTTTGCAATTAACTGTAAAAAAAACATCTGTATAAATTAATTACCAAAGATAGTGACATAAATGAAATAATGAGTATCGTTTGATGTGTGACCTTTATTTGTTCATTTCAGTTATACTTACAATCATCATCATACTAGTTTCAAGATAAATTACACATTTGTGTTATATGGTTAGTACTTACTTTTTATACTTCGTATGGAGTGTTGATAAATAAAGTATTTTGAAAAAAATTGCTTTTTAATTTCTAAAAACGACAAATAACTGTTGAAAATTTTATATACAGGGTGTAACTGAATAAGTGTAAAACATTTAAGGAGGTGATTCCTCATCGGAAAAAAGATAGGATCTTTCATATAGAGAAACTTCATTAAGTTGTCGTTCTTATGGGGGCGACAGCTGATTAACGGAAAAACGGACAGAACAGACTTTAATAAATTAATGAAATGAACCATAACATTCAAATATTTACTAATAGTTAAATACATATTTACAGTAAATAAGTTGTTCATAAAGTATCAAAGTTCACTTTTTCTAAGTAGTAGGCTCCCATTTTACTTTTTTATCCTTAAATATCTGATCACTGCTCACATTGTCCAATAATACTATCTGAAAAAGTATAAATCAATCAAAACTGATTTGTAAAGAATTTTATAGAGAAATTAGATACCATTCATAAGAGTTTCAAAGGGGAATATTTTTTAGGAAACAAATACACTTCAATAATAACTTTTACAAAGATGTGTAGATTATGACAGAAGCTTCTTACAGATACAAACTATATCATTTCAACATTGAACTTCTCCATCAAAAATTTCAAAGTCGAAATTTTAGAGTGAAATAAATTCCAGACAAATTAATAGATTTCTTTTCAGGCATATGAAAAGAGATTTTTGTAATGACAGTTTGTTCAGGAGACTCTTGATAATGTAAAGTTTTTCACTGAACACAATGTGTGGGATAATTTTTTGTTGATGGAATCTATCAATTACCTGTTTCCTAACATATTCAACTAGCTTGTCCAGATTATGTAGATGAACGGGTCCCATCTGGTACAATCTCCTCCACAATGCACCTGCCAGTACCGTATCATTTGACTGAAGACCTTCATCATAAGATATCAAGGCAGCTTGTAGCTGCTCTGATAATTCTTCAATGTCCTGCCTTACAGCAGAAGGATTCCCTGCCTGAAAGGAATTATAGTTCCAATTACTTTTGAAACCAACAAAGTTTTTTTGAACTCTCTAATTGAATTTAATGCTGTTTTCATTTTGAATTAAGCTGAATAACTATATTGATCACTCATACTGAATAAATTTCTCATAAATGAATATTGTAGACTAGCGTATTTGAGACTAATTAGTCTAAACAAAATATCAATCATTGAATATTTATTTACTGGTGCTGCTAATAGACACTGAACAGACAAAAGATTCAAAATAATATAAAATCATTGAGCAATTCAGAAACGTGACACTAAAATAAATGACTATACCGGAGCAGTCTTCAGCTTACTTTTCACATATCTTTTTTTTATATAATTCTACTAAATGTTATATTGCTCTTTCAGATGGTTTCAAACATCACTCCATTATATAAGTTCTGAAAAAATTAGTTTGATGTCTTTGAATGCCTTTTCATGTGGCTTATGAATTACGGTTCGTATTTCATGTATTTATATGTGTTACCATCTCTCAATATATTTTGTACTTGTCTACTCTTGCAGAATTTTGTTGTTCCGCTTTATTACCAAATACACGAGTGAAGACGAATTGTTAACTATCTGTGTAGAGATCTTTTATTCTTACCCCTAGTTTTCTCACTCTCTGTCCAACATCTTTCCAAAGAGCTTCAATAAGTGCATTTCTTATAACAGTTCCATCTTCACCATCTGCCATAAATCTCACAGAGAGCATCCAAATATATAACTCTGTCACGACAAACCAGGAATAAAAGGTATCTGGCAAATCATAAGTGTCGAAAAATGAGACATACTCCACTTTATCTGCGATTCCTTCATAAAGAACAAAGCCATAAGCTTGAAGTCGCTACAATAATGAGTAAAGTAGTGTATCTTGCAAAGTATTGACTACATTTATCTTAATAGATTTGATAGGAAACTATTTCTGTCATGATAGATATATTTCCAATCATTTTTTCGGAGCTGTCGAGATAAATCTAGTCAGTCATTTTACTTACCATTTTATGGATATTCAAGAATGGTATTCTTGAAAATATATTTCTGAGAAAACCATTTTCCTTTTGCAAATTTTTAATTACGTGTGTTGAAACGTATTGAACTTTTGACGTGTTTTTCAATAAAACCAAAGATTTAACCCCACAACATGCATGGAATCCATTATTTGGAACAGAGATTACCTAAAATTAAAAGTGAAATAAAAATTACCAGAGAATTGCGGTTCTTACTCTTATTGGTCTTAGTAGAGAAGGCAAATTGAAAAACCTAATGATATTCATAGTGATTTAAATAATTTCAATTTTTAATGCACAATAATAAAAATAAACGTGACAGAAATCATTGTAAACATAACCAAACCAATCGTATCATCGAATCCTCGAACGTTTTTTACTTTCAACCATTTGACAACTTGAGCCATCTTTTGGAAAATTTTACAAACAGAAACAGTAGGTAATGCTTCTAATTGGAAATGGTGGATTGACGATCTAAAGGTGAGTTAAATTGAGATTTTTGCATTTTTACAGTAACTATTTGCCATAAAATCTGTCTCTTCGAAAAACTCATATTATACTGAATATCTTAATCAGTGATGTATTCCGAATGAATCACCAATTTTTTCTAAATTTGAGGGAGAGACAGGCTTCTCAATTTGACCTTCTTCCTTTTCTCAAAGATGTTCCTGCTTAAAATATGTATTGTTCTGTCTAACCACATTGAAAGTTATCTTTTTACTTTTATTAGCTGTGAAATTTTTTCAAAACTGAAAATATTCTCCTATTTTGTTAGGTTAATGACAGGTTTTCTTTTAGTTTGAAAATCATAGATTTTATGCACATACTTTCCATATATCTACTTTTTCTGGAATCTAATTTTTTTGCACCATTGGAGTTCTTGATGAAGTTTCTTGTCCAACCTCTGGAAAGACAGGGTCTTATGATCATTAGATATATTATATTTGGAGGAATCACAAAATAATGTTATCTCGAAAGGTTCAAGTGTACCCTTACATCTAATTTGTTGTCGTAGTTGATGTTCTTGAATATATTAAGGACTGTTTTAAGTTCAAAAACATCACAAAACAATTTTTTATGAAATTTCTTTATTTCTTCCAGATCTGCTTCCGAAATGACAAACAAAACCACCAAGAAAGGCAAGAAGCCACTTCAAACTACTTTAGGCAAAGCGTCCCTCGGCGAAAAGGAAGTAGATTTATCCCTCGTCGGTAGACCAATAGACACTAGCATCTTTGGTTTGAAACAAGTGCTGACTCTTTTCCAAACTGCTACGGAAGAAGTAAGTGTTTAAAAGTCATAAATCTATAGTATGATACTTGAACGGCTTATTGCTATTCATTGACTTTTTCATTTATAGCCTCCATTTTCTAAAAGAAAATAAGTATATTGATGTGCTTGATAAGTAATGCAAAAAACAATGTTAAGGTTCTGAAAAAGCAGTATAGTTTTTTATCAAGAGTTATCTTATGGTCATGGAACATGCCATTAAAAAAATATTTAGTAGTTCGTAAATGAATTGAAAATAGATTATTAAGTGACTATACTTTATTCGTTTTGCAGAATTATTTTCTACAAATCATACAAACTATTGAGAAAAATATATATTGAATTTCAATTCATAAATTTTTTGTGTTTTTATCTAATTATGGGGCCCAACTGATTGATGAATTTCGATTAACCATTGTCTTTAAATATATTTGAAATATAATATTTCGTTTCAGGTCAAAAACTACATCATATATGAGTGTGAAATCATTTATGAATGTCGAATCTGTAAGTCCATTTATAGAAGTCTCGCAAATTTCATTCTTCATAAACGCAACTATTGTCGTGATAAATTCATTCCTACTGCCTCCAACCGAATGAACTGTGGAATTCAGGTAAAAATATTTTAAAGAAATTTTTTTGTTTGGTATGTTTTGATACTCTAATAGTTGTAACATATTCTTCATTATTTTCTTGTTTGATCTTTATTAAAAAAGAACTTTATGAATTTGCAAACATATGTGTTGTTCGATATTCAACCGAAATTTTTTTTGCTATTAAATACTGTAGAAGTTAGCTTGAAAATATTTGAATTATCTGAAAAGTAAATTCATTATAACTCAACACATACAAAAACAAATGTTATTTTATAGTAAATACATGTTATATATTCAATTATAAACAAATAAGAAGTATTTTTCAGTTTCCTCTGTACCTATTATCAATATTGATTTTTCTGTAATTTTTTTAATACAGAGGGTGACTGAGAAAGCGCAAAAAAATCATTTGTTGTCAAATGAAGATTTAAAAAAATGATCATATAATACTGGATATGATTCTCCATCTGAAGAGCTATTAACATAAAAAATGTACTATTTACATTGTAAATGATGTAAATCACTTCACTTTCATGAATCAAATATTATGAAACAGTGCTCATCGAGGCCTTTTAATGAAGTTCATTAAATTCAAGAAAGAATACTAAGGGTTTTTTTGTAATGACTGTAAAAGCAACTTCACATATTCTACCATCCTTGGAACCCTATATAAAAATTGATTTAGAAGTCGCATAGTCAGAAATTATATTTCTTGAACTGTGTTCTGCTTAAAATGCATAAAATTCATTTAAATTATACAGGCATTTGAGATCAAGTTTTTTTTTAATGCTTGGTGGAATTCGTTTGCCTTTTCAGTATACCTTTCAGTAATAGGCAGTTTGTTATATTGAATAATACTACTGTATATGAAAGAGCATTCTATCTAGCTAGATTTGGGTATAGGTAGACTAAGTCTATCTGCAAAGCGGGTGTTGTGACAATTTTCACACATTCTATGAACACTAATTTGATGAAAATTTTTATCAGTTATTCTGCTTTCAATGTTTTTGATATGGGTTTTTATTCATTATCTTAGATTATTGATCTTATAATAAAGATTTTACTTGCAGGTGCAATAATGCATAAATAGAATAATAATTTACCATTATGAATTTATGATTATGAATGCTTCAAACAGTCACATGTTTTGAGATAGTTTTCTATAAATTCCACTAGTTTTCGTGAATGAAGGTACATTGAATAACTAAAAGATAATCTTGGTTTTTAGGATTATGCTCACCCACCAAGATCACCAGAGGGGACGAACGTCCTAAAATCTGGATCACTGAAAACTCCAAAGCCTCCTGATACTGGCGAACAAGTGGCAAATAAAGGTTTATCTCCTGTCATAGAGAAATTGAAAGAAAAACAGGAAATAAATCAATTAACTTGTGAGATTTTGAATACAGATTTGTCCAAGGAAGAATCTAAGGGACCAGTATCTTCTCTTTCTGTTCCCAACAATGATTTTCTGTTGGAAGAAATCGCTACCAACAATGCTGCAGTTTTTCAAACTATGTTGAAGACCATGTCTAGTAAAGATCTCAGGAAGCCTGATTTTATGAAATCTGAGGTAGATTGTTGGAAATATTTTTTTGAATAAAGTAGCGAACTTTCATCCAACGTCCTCTTTATTTTTTTTGTAGGTTATGGAAATTCATGGAATTTTGGACAGCGATGAAGCCGTTCTGGGTGCAGACGGGAAAATTTGCAATTTCCAAACCAACAGAATCAATAGTAGTCCAATAATACCGAAGACTGAACTAAGTTGTACGGAATGCAATATGAAATTTTCCACAAAAAAAACCCTAGTATGTCATCTCAGGAATAAACACAACAACAGCCGTTTGGTTTACCTCTGCCCCGATTGCAAGGAGACGTATGCAAACGCTTGGGGTGTTTTTAGGCACCTTTTCAAGGTACATGGATTTTTAGTCTAGAACACAATTGTCTCAATAATAGTCTGTTATATCTAAAGAAGTCACTATTCCCAACCCATAATAAAAACACTGTAGTGTTACATGAAAATACTTCCAAATGGCTTCCTGGGCTGTATCCTGTCACATATAATTTGTGAGGAAATCTTAAAAACTGCCCTTAAAAATGCTTTTGAAAAATATGTTTATATCTCATCTACTTGTGTTATCAAATATATAACTGATTCACTATATATTAGTCGGTCAGTAGCCAAGCAGTTCGGCGTGGGTGATTTGTTCACTCACTCGAATTGACTGCCGTGTTGGTCGGTGGTTCAAGCCCTAGTCTGAACGATCGATCTTCACTTGCTATCGTCCAACCCGTGTTAGGAATCACACGTTAAAAGGTAAGACCTCGTTAATCCTTAGCTCGCACAAGTTTCGACTTCTGAGGGTTGTCATTCGTAGGGGTACGATAACTGGTTAACGGAAAAAACATATTTTTTTTTTTAACTTGAATTTAACTATAAAGACATTTTATCATGTTACTTATACTCAGTAACTTAGTCATTACATTGAAAAGATATCATGGGAGCAGAAATCAGTCTTTAAAAATAGTGTGTTTTTTGATATTTGTTAATATTTTCAATGAATTTCATATATTTCTTGTTAGTCTTAATTGTGATTCAACAAAATATTTGAAAGGTGAAGACTTAAGTGAAAAAAGAAGAAAAGATAATTTAATGATACTTGATGTCTTTCACTTTATTGTTTGTAAAATATACTTTTTGGAAATTTCAGTTTCATCGCAAAACTCCTGCTCAAGTAAAAAGATTGAGACAACAAGTGCATAACAGTATTATAAGGAAAGACGAAGAACCCCACAAAAAAGGGGAAAAGAAAGAAGCTGTGAAATTTGACAAAACCGATGAAGAAAATCAGGTAATTGAATTATAAAATTGTGAAAAATACGTAATAATTCAGAAATAGAATAATTACATAGAAAGATAATAATTAGATAGATAGATAATAATTTATACTATCAATTTTTTATCATAGTTTTTTTTTTTCAGTGGTTGAATAATATCGAAGGTGATAATGATTTCCAGATGTGCGGCGGCTGCGGGAAAAGGTTCGAGAGAAAAGCAGCTCTTCACTCTCATGCCCAGATGTGCACTAAAAGGATAGCGGTTTGTAATACTATCAAGGAAAACAATGCTAAAAAGAAAGAAGGGGAAAGCAAAGATACCAAAATGAAACAAACCAAAGTAGACAAACCGCTTTTATTGGAAGCTCCTCTCAAAGGAGCTTCCAAAAGAAAGCCTTACCTACTGAGAACTTACAAGACTGTAGGAGAGGCGGACACACAGAGGCTCCCTCAGAATAATTGTGATGTCAACGCCAATACAAAAAATAAAGAAATTGTTTGTGATATTATGAAATCAGAGAAGGAAGAGGAAAACAGTCGCATCGCTCCTGAGATGGATAAAATCGATGCTCAACATGTGCTGGATATTATCGGCATTGCTTCCAAAGAACAAATAATTGGTGCGACGAAGGAAAGTTCGCCGACGCCAGAAGGCATGAAAGACGGAACCATTGACTTTGATTCATTCTGCCAGAGAGTGGGCGAACGCATACGACAAATCCACTCTACTCCAGAAAGAAAAGATTCCGCAACCACACGAGACGAAAATCACTCCAACTCTTCGCCGGATGTATCAATGTGCAGCATAAGCATCCGCAGTTTGGAAGAACTGAAAGGGTTTCCGAAAGAAACGGAAAGCAGAGATGCAGAAGACGCTTCTCCGAAGAGCCGCAAGAGCCCGCGACGCCCTTCGAAGAGGAAAAGGACGTTGTCCCAGGATTCGGCAAAGACGAAACCTTCGAAGATAGACTCCCTCTTGGAAAAAGCAGATGTCGGTTTTATGAGGAAAATCCAGCCGTACATAAACCCCGAGCAGCTTACGTGCAAGCCTTGCCAACAGAGGTTCCCCGCGGTTCTCGATTTACTGAGACACATGTCGGCACACTTTTCCTGGTTCCGCTTTCAGTGCAGCCGCTGCTCGTTCATGGCATATGACGAGACAGACTGCGCGGACCACGCGGAAACCGCCCACTCCGAAAGCGACATCGGTGGCGTTGTGCTTCCCATCCCCAACTGGAAGACGGTGCTGATGTCGAACGAGTTTCCCGCTAACCCGCCCCGTAACGAAGAGGTCGCGAAAGAGAAAGACGTGACTGGAGCGCCCGACGACAACATCATCGCCACGCTCTTCGTAGATTCGGAAGAGATGGAGGAAATCGACGCCGAGTTAGACGCCCTGCCCTTCCTGACGCACGTCTCCGATCATATGTCTTGCATTAAGCACGAGAGCATCGACATCGTCGAAGAGAGCAAAGACTCCTTCAAGTTGGACGATCCGCAGGAGATGTTCTCCACGTTCGAAATCGTCAAGGTCATCGACAACGATACCGACGAGTACGACTTCCGATCAGAGTTCGATGTGAAGGAGGAAATCATCTCTGCTGACGACGAGGATTTTGTGATAATGAAGTCTCTGGGAAGTGAGCCGAAAGGGCCACCGAGTCCTGGGGCCATCAAGGAAGAAGTTGTCGTCTGCAAGGACGACGAGTTTGAGGAACTTACTGAGACAACGAACCAACAGACGCTAAATTCGAGGCCGACGAGAAACCGCGTGCGAAGCTTCAAAACACTTCAGGAAGATTTTTTCTACGAGCAACTCGGGAATAGAACGAGTGCTTCGCAGAAGCAGAAGAAGAACGGAAGCGGCGCCCTCGCCAAAAAAGGGATAAGGGGTTTGAGGGTTTATTCTAATAAACAATAGTTTCTACATAGTGGAAGCAGAAGGGGGTAAAACTGCAGGGATCACCAACATTTTTGTGAACATTGTCGGTTTCAGAAATTTTTATTTTTTTGATAACAATCATTACCAAATTTTTTTTCCAAATTGTTCGAGGAATAATTAACGATTTACTTTTTTTCATTTTTTCAAATACAAATTTTTACTAAAGGAATATTTTCGAAACACACTAGTCAGTCTATCTGAAAAAGTATCGCTCGACAATACTTGTGAAACATGTCTTCTTCAATGATGTTGAACAGAACTTGTAGACGTTTTTACTCTGTTCAAGCTTCGCTGAAGCCTTCGAGTCTTATGCCAAGGTTTCCATTTTTAAAAAGTATTCCCAGTTCCTTTACATGTGTATATAATGTAAATATAATGGATCATTGTTATTCAATTGATAAATTCTGTTTTTTTTTTATTCTCCATTTCAGGTTTTTCATCAACAGAAAACTGAAAGATTTATTTATTTCAATAAAGAATGTCATTAAAAAAATATGAGTTTTTACTTTCTCAATACTAAAAAAATGCTTGAAGAATCATAAGATATGTAGTCTACTGATATTTTGAGTGCAAGAAAGGAAGATGTGGAATATATTTTAACTATGGCTTTAAATGTATCTGAAGTTTTTGACAACTCTTCATATACTCATCCGTTAATTACTGTACAATTTTTTTTTTATCAAACAGTACTAAAAATGATACCTTTTTACGTAAATCTTGTCCGACCTTGATATAGATACGTTGATAAAATGAAAACACGCACCCAAATATTGACTAAAGAAAATTACAACTATACTTCTCTGAACAGTAAGCAAATATCGTTAGGTCAAATTATATTAACGTTTTGTGAAACATTTGTATACATGTAACCACAAATACACCACAATTTATGTGAAATTACGTTTACACATCCAATGTATACAGAAGAATAGTAATGAAATATTCACAATTGAAGGGTGGACCATTCTAGAAGTAATATTTAAAGGACATATATTCATTTGTTGAAGAACTAACTCGGCTCAAATTTTGAGCCACCCCGTAAACAGTTTTTATAAAAGAGATGGCACACCGATACCTTATCATTTTCAAATATGAACATCTACGTGGACGTTTTGGCAAACTTGATCATTCAACAGTATTTCATGAATTGCAGATGTCTTTTAGCGTTTACAGATTATGAAAACAGATTCTATTTTAACGGAGTATTACCCATTGTGAATATTCGAGTGAATATTTCGAAAACTTGCGTTCACCCCGAAGTATTTCTCCGGTATTATGGATGCCAAGGAATTATCGTTAAAAGCAATAAACCAACTGTGGTATTTAGGACGATAGAACATGAAATTAGATTGACTACTGAAAGATTCAATAATAGAAAGTATCTGTTTCTGCCAGGAGACGATATGATGGAAAACATGAAGGACATTTTCGGAATGAAAGAACTGCATTATGTTGCTGACATGGTGGTTGCTAACTCAGAAAAAGACTATAACGGAACCAATACTTTTTTTGTGCCAGATGAAATTTTATCCTTATGGACACATAAGTACATGGGCACGGAAGACAACATTAACGGAGTATTTTTAGATAAGTGGTTTTCGAAAAATAATTCCTACAAATTGAATAAATATTTATATCAAAATAAACTTATCAACCAGATGAAACGAAAAATTCAGTTTGCAACATTTCAGTATGAGCCCTACAGTGTTATAGGTAGGTACAAATAAAGCTTATGAAAATCCAGTAATAAATGAGGCGACAATCAAATGAAGTTGAAAATTTTGTTCATAATTTTTTACATAACTTTTCCATAGAAAGAATCAATTGCTGTCATTTTTGATTTATTATAACTGAAACCATATTGATCGTTATATAGAAACTATATATCTGTTTTCTCAGGGTATTCAAATATTTTGACAGTGAACAACATTAATCATAAGTCTGTAATTTTCGAAGTGTACTCAATTGAATGAAGTGGCCGTATTATATGACATAGTTGCTATATACCTAACGTGACCATTAATTTTTTTACTCAAAACGTGACCTTGTTTTTTCAACTGACTTATTCAATCATTGTTTTTACTTTTAATCTATTCTTTACTTTATATTTAATGCGTCTTTGTTCCTAACCTTTCCCTAACCTTCCCTAATCATAGGGAAGAGGGCAAACCGCAGACACGTGTTTCTGGCTATTTAGCCTTCGTCAGTACGGTACAGTCAAGTGTAAAGGATTGGCAACACTTGGTTGCGAATAGGGTCCGCTTGTTTTGTTTTCGACCCTTTTTCGCAACCAAGTGTTGCCCATCCTTTACACTTGGCTGTACCGTACTGACGAAGGCTAAATAGCCAGAAACACGTGTCTGCGATGTGCCCTCTTCTCTATGAGTCAAAATTTGGTATATCAGCAATTTTTGACCAATATTTTCTTTCTAATGTTAATTCATTTATAAATTGAAAGGACTCGTTCCCGCTTTAAATATGTTAAGGGAACTATATCCTTACGAAATTGGTCAAAACTAGCTTTAACAATTTAAAGAAACCATTTTTTATCTAGGTTCAAGTGAAATTGAACACAAAGGATCCGAAATGATGACTGCTTTATTGTTTGCCAAGCAATATAATATGACTCCACAATTGGTGATAAACCAAGAAGGTTATTGGGGGGACATTTTTGAAAATTGGACAGGCTACGGCCTCCTTGGCAATTTACTAAAGGACGGGGCAGATGTAGGTTTCAGTAAGTACATATTTCACGTGTGAATAAAAACTTCATTGATTTGGGAATCATTTGAAGGTGCTTTATATACGTGGGAAGCTGACTATCATTTCCTTGATTTATCAAAACCAATGATTCGAACTGGAATAACCTGTCTAGTACCAGCACCGAAGTAAGTGAGGTGCTTCATTATTTAATTTTATTATTTAGGTTTACATATCTTCTCCTAGGCTGGCAGCAGGGTGGTTAACACCATTATATTCGTATTCAAAAGCCATGTGGGTAGCCGTAGGTTCTATGTTTTTTGTTTGCATATTAGTCCAATCCGGAATGCATTATATTCAAAGAAAAAGGTAATACGCATTTTTACTGAAGGGTAGTTGAATTACTTTTCTTTCCTTTCCAGTTTCAAGTGCAACACAAAATATATAAACGGTTTGAAAATCTTTAGTCAGTCCGTTTTCTGTATTGCCAAACTATTTGTACAACAAGTGGTGTCTAGGAGGGAAATGCCCGAAGGAAGCATTGGAAAATATTTCATGGGATTTCTCTTTACTTTTAGCCTATTCTTGTCTAGTTCCTACAGTAGCGGATTATCCACTATTATGACCTTACCAAGATACAGTGCTCCCATCAACACAGTTGAAGAGTTTGTGAACAGCGGTTTATTATGGGGAGCCACTCAAAATGGATGGATACTGTCAATTGAAAAAGCTGAGGATGTAATAATTAAAAAAAATATTTATCGGAAAGTACTAAGAGTATTTAGTCTATATACAATGGTATTAGTAAAACTTCAAATAACACACTAGGGTTATCAATAAAAATGAATGCATAGAAATGTAACTGAAAAAATTTGAGAAAAACTATTATTGTTTTCGATTTTCACTGATCTGTTGTGATAGCTTCCCATAATATTTAGTGTTCAATTTGTATGAATTGGTTCCTGAATCAAAAAGTTATAATGAATATAAAGAATTACATCAAACAAAACTATAAAATAATTTGTGTTCAGCTAATTTGGCTGAAACTATATATATTTATAGTTTGTAAAATGATTTTATTATGTATCAAAGATGAAGGTAAATACATGATATCACCGTATGAAAGTGCATTTAGTAGTTATTTTCTATTTATAGACAGACAGGCAGACCCGCCGGCGCGGACTTTGCTTAATAATACATAATTATTTCAAAAATTCATGAAAATCTTTGGCTTATTGAATAAAAAAATAGCGAATTATTTTTTGCAAGAATATATTGACAATATGTTTCGTTTCTGATATATCAAAATCTCAAACCGGTCAATAGCTTCAATAAGGATTATGAAAAATAATTTGATATAGATAAAAAGTTGCCGATTGTCTTAAATTATACATTTTTTCAGCCTTTATATAAAACTATAGTAAGCAGATTTGTTCCAACAAATGAAGAAAAATTGCGGGAACTTTCGAAAACATCAAATTTTGCATTTTCTTTGGAGCGTTTACCAAACAGTTGAGTACTTCAGGTATTATTAATAAATCGATATTGATTTTTTCATAATTTTCATTTCAGAAAACTATGCAATTGGATCTTATATAAAAAAAGATGTGATTGGAAATTTCCATTTGATGAAAGAAGATTTTTATTGGGAGCAATGTGTTATGATGACCCGAAAGAGTTCTGTTTTACTACCACTCTTGGATTCATTTATTTTGAGAGTGTTTGAAACTGGATTAATTTCTCACTGGCAAAATGAGGTTCTTAACTCTCTTTGTTATATCTAATATAAAATAATTTTCATCACCACCATCAAGGAAACAAAGGCTAACGGTCCTATGAAATTAATTCTTTGCATAATATTTTGTATTGCTTGGACATTAAATTTTTATTACTTATTTAATGACCTCTTCATATATTATTCTGAAAAATAAAGGGTGTATTTATTTTTCAGGCAACAAGATCATCTATGGATTCAAGTGTACAAAAGGCAGTGAAATTTTATTATTACAATCATAAGAACAGAAACTTTGTGGTTAAATTGAAATGGATTCATGTAGAAGGCGCATTCGGCTTATTATACATAGGATATATTATTAGTTTTTTTGCCTTTTTGTTTGAAAATATATTACAACGATATTCCTGTAACACTCTGAAATTATCGCTTGTATGTAGTAATAGATGAAGTTATGATATTCAAGTATGAATGCAAAGTTTTTGTTTTGGCTTTTATAATGCGTTTTTTACCTCTAACATATCACATATAGCGCCATACTAGGATTTTTGACAGATATATATCCGATTGGTGTAAAATCAATATCACCAGAAAAACCCACCGCACTTTATATTTTTATCAAAAGATGTGTCACCCATATTACTATAAATTATTTTCCTTTATTGAATAGTTAATGTATGTATTGACAAATTATCAAAATAAAAATTATGAAAACGAACAATAAACTGATGAATATAGTCGTTACTACGTGGCAGTGAACTCTATATTACCTGGACGGACCCGACCCGTTTTCTGTAATAGCAGAAAGTAGAAAGTGTAACAGGAGCAGTTGAAGGCGAAAAATGTCACGAAATCAGATCATTCGGAAAGTTGTTTGAAGGGGATTGACAATGTGTAATGATGAATGTCATTAGTTCGAACTTCCATTGTCTAATAACATATAAAATGATTTGAATTCCCAAGTTACTTCACGACGTTTCGATTGTTAGTATCCACAATCGTCTTCGGGTGATGATATCGGATGTTGATCTTTTCTGTTACAGTACGGGTGTTGTTGAGTAACATGTCATTGTGCTGAAATTATGTTCTGTTGGGCCTGCACCAAGACACAACTAGTGTCTTATTTCAATATTGTTAGTATCGATACGACAGGAGGACACCACTATTTTTATTAATTGAAAACATTATGATACTTGATAAATCCAGAGTTTTCATTAGGAAATGAATGCCACAATGTTTTACTAATGTCAAACATTGAAGTGGAACGCACTCCAGATCCAAGTCGGTCGCCGGTGAGTGACATTAGTGACGTTTCGTTTCCCATGTCAGTGCTGTCAGCTGTCAGTGGCTGTAATCTTTTAAACACAGTATTATATGTTTATGTTATTATAGGGAAATAGGCGGTGTCAGCTGTTTTATTACAATAAATCAGTATTAAAATTGAGAAATGAAAGTAAATATTAATTATTTGTTTCTCAGGTGAGATTTAAAATTTTATATCAAGTTCAAAGGTCTTCACTCTGCGGCCCAATAATCTTCACATTGAGAAATCGATTCTTGCCTTTCCGTCTCATGCCTGTACTCCCTAGCCTAGTTGAAAGTTAGCATTTTTAAAAATTAATATTTGAGGATGTACGCAATTGATATTATTTAAAACCTGGATTTAAACTGTATATCCGCTCACAGTACAGGGTGTTTATGAAAACTCTGAACCTTGTTGTCCTAAAAAATATTGATAAGTATAATTTGGAACCTCTGGCGTGAAATGAATCTGTCGAAAACACTCACATTGGTTGCAAATCGCCCGTCAAGCATTTTTGTCCTGGTGAGGGAAAAATGTTTTCAACAGTTTCCTAAAGCCTGAGAATATGTAATAATTAATATCAGATTCATCTTTTTTTGGGTCTTGAAAGATATCATATTTTCGAATATGATATTTATAAGATTTGGTGTACAATTTATTCTAGGTAAGGTTGAAAAAAAAAGTTCACTAATTTGTATTAATAAGTGGGACTGAATGACTGGTATCAAAAACATTTTAGGTTATACGACTAATTAGTAACATTAATTCGGATTGGCAAAACGGAAGGCAAACCATATTTATAACTATAATTTCACTTGCAAGAAGAATTGCAGCATTAAATTTATGTCTGGACTCTTTTTCTTCTGCCACTGCAATTATAATTGCAACAGCTGATCGAAGAACCCTTAAGGTACATGCTTGCAATGAAAATTGCCGCAATACCTTAAAGAATTGCGAAATGTAAAGCGGTCACAAATGTAACACATTGACCTGCTCGGAATTTTCTTCTCTGCAATCATAACTCCAGCTGTGAAAGCTTGGCACAAGGTTTATAGAAGGCCAATTTCAAAAATTGATTGACAGTTTGACAAATATCCCAATCAGATTTTTTATTCATTTCCACATGAGCGGGAAGAGTTTTGAGAAACTTTCAAAGATTTTTTATCTGCATATTCTTTTTATTTTTGTGTCATACAATGCAGGATGAAATTTAACTGCAAATACTTCGATGTCTAGCGACATGTTGATGCACAATGAAATTGCCACTGAATAATCAAGAACAGCTTTTTAATCGTGCCGTAGCTTAGTAAAGTTTCACTATGACAATTTTCATTTGTTAGTTATCTCTGTGGTCATGCTTTCAAATTTATATTCTAATCATTTTCTAATGTAAATGTATATTTTTATGACAACACCGAGGGTGATTATAATTTCTACTTTGTCTATAAGATGATTTTTTTTCTTTCACGAAAACATTTCCAAAACGAATTGGATATAGTTCATTTATATAACTCCCCAAAAACTTTTTTCCAATTTGAAATTGTGTTTCAAGCTCTATTGTAAATATATTTGTTTATTGAATGAAGTAACACAATTTCAATTATTCTACAAGAACAACTCTCTTCATGATGGAGATCTTGTCTCTTTTTATACTAGTGCTGATATTTTATAGGAGGCTCTAGGCCTTCGACATGAACATCATGAGGAAGTTGAGGAGCGGGGTTGTGAATACATCCCTGGCCTCCTCATCTGACCTGTCGGACTCACCATCTTCGGCACACACTCAACTGGGATTGATGCACTTGAAAAAACTCTTCTTGGAATACTCCCATCCGTCTCATCCCTTGACAGACCAAGAAAGAGACGATAAGTTATATAATATGCTACCATTGTTTTGTAAGGTCAGTTCAGGCATTATTGAAATACTAATTATGTTAATGGACAACTTTATCACAAATGGTTTTGTATTGATTTTTTTTTAATTCAGAAGCCTTTCTTCATCTTTTGTAGGTATTTGGCTCGAGTCCCTCCTGTGATATGAATGAGAAATTTTGGGATATATTAGCTTTTTGTCATCAAGTATCGACTTTAATGGTATCTGAGATTCGGAAAAGAGCCTCTAATCAAAGTACAGAAACTGCTAGTTGCGCCATAGCAAAATTTTTGGAAATTGAAAATTCAGAGGAGTCTAGCAACGGATGGATGTTACTTTCAACTCTGAATCTTCTTGCTGCTGGGGATTATACATTAGTACAGGTTTGAAATAATCCAAAACTGTATTCCATAATAAAAAATTAATAACGCCACTATTTCAGGTTATGTCTGAAGTTTCAGTTCCATCAACACTGGTGAAATGTTTGTATCTATTCTTCGACCTTCCAGAGCTTTCCGAAAAAGAAGCCAATACCAAAGATTCTAACAGTGATTTCACCCCTAGAGAAAGAAGAATATTGTTACAAAAGATATTTGTACAGGTAATGTTTTCTTTCAGTTCAAAGTGTGCTTAGTTTTTATAACTTCTTGAAAGTCATCTGTTTTGTGTAATTTGTATTTCTTCAAGAACAGTGTTTTTCAAATTTTGTTACATTCATTGGAATTGGTGTATCTTTTTAGTTTTACAAAAATACTCCATTTGTGTTACAGCTTTTAGTAAGACTTTGCAGCCACAGAATTCCTTCTGAAGAATTGGCTCGTAAAGATGATTTAACATTATTATTTTCTGCAATTACTTCATGTTGCCCGACTTACAATGTCTTGTGGAGAAAGAGTGCAGCAGAAGTTTTGATGACCCTCTCGAGACACGGTCTCACTCCTCTTGTAGTTGGTTATATTCACTGTAAGTCAAGAGAGGAATTGTAAATAAGAAACATTTCATATGATATTTTATTTCAGCAAAGTCCTGTGTGTCCTTGTGCATAGAAAACATGAAGAAAATACCTGATTTAGCCCCTTTAGATTTGGTCGAGATGTTTGTAACGATATTTTGTTTTCTAAAGGATTCCAGTGAAGTTTCGTCTACATTATTGGATGATTTCAGACAGGCCCAAGGTTATCCCTTTTTGTCAGAATTCTTGTTGAAGTGAGTTTTTGAATTTTAAATCCTTTACACTTGATTAATACAGATTTAAGTATTCAATAAAGGTTATTTACTATTTTCTCTAGACATTTTTAATCGAACAAATTTCTTTACAGGTTGGAAAATGATAATTCTGGCGAGGCTCAGGAATCTATCAGAAATTTAGTTTTAATGGTGACTTCATTATGTATGTGCGGGTACATAGAATTGAAACCGTCACAAGCTTCAACTGGATCCTTGTTCCAGATGCAAGGATTCATTTTACCTCAGCCTTCAGGTCGAGGAGCTAGTGTCAGAAATATCCAGGCTTTTCACGTGAGTTTTATACTACTATATTATATTCAATTCTCTTTTCTAAAATTGGAAAAAATTTGACAATTATTGAAACCAGTTTCGAAAACTAATACAAATATTTTCAATAACATTTTGTTTCTCAGGTGCTGCAAACTACATTTCTCAAGTCAAATTCTTCTCTGTTATGCTCTACGATATTAGACGCAATATCTAGTATTTATCATTCTGACAATGCCAATTATTTCATACTAGAAAACCAAAATACTCTCAGCCAATTCACCGAAAAAATCCAGTTCAAGCCAGCAGAAATTCAGAATAAGTTATTCAGCCTGATAGAATTCTTGGTGTATCACTTGAACTTTGTTCCTTGCAAAGAATTGATATCAATGTCCATTTTCCTGAAAAGTCACAGTTTGAATTACGTCGACTGTAGCATACTCTGTATGCAGACTTTGCTGAATGTTCTCAGACATAATGCCATATTCAAAGATGTATACCGAGAAGTTGGAATGTTGGAAGTTTTCGTTACATGTTTGTGTCGATATGCGACTATGTTGGAGGACAAGAAATTGGCTGAGAGCAGTGAAAAAGATCAGAAGGCAAACGTTGGCCAAGAAAAACTTGGAGCGCTGATCGTTGAAGCATTGACCATTTTATTAACGAGCAATAGTCCGAATGCCTCAGTACTAAGAGATTGTGGAGGAGCCAAATGTGTCCACAAACTCGTTCAATATCCAGACTGTCGGTACGCCACTTTAGGTGAGTTTTTATATTTCAGATTCTCAATTTGTAACCTATGGTCTAAAGTAAAAAGGAAATAAAATATATTTCATATACAGGTATCATCAAGGAGTTGATATTAACTACAGGAGGTGATGATGATATGACCCAACTATTAAATACTCTCCATTCTATTTCAAGGACACAACTTGAACTGAAAATAGATATTTTGGAAGCCTTAAAAATTTGTTTGAAAGAATCCCATAGAACCAGAACAGTATTCAGAAAGGTATGTATTGCAAGTAAAGTTATTCCCCACAAAATTAAAGTGAAATATTCGAAAAGTGGCGGATCTCTTGAACTATTCAGTTGGAATTATTTCAACATCACTTTCAGTTTCATCCATTTGTAGGTCAATGGATTTGTGTATGTTACTAGCGTTTTGGTGGCTCTGGAAGGAAGGCTGGGCCAGAGAGAAACCAATCCCGAAGTTTTTCATCTGTTGAGTTTGGTATTCCAAACGATATGCACGGCCCTTCGTTTTGAACCTGCCAATGCAAAATTTTTTTACCACGAAATATGCAAAACAACCCTTTGTGACACGTTGAGGTTATTGGGATGTTTCACATCAGAAAAGAAATCCGTAATCAGTGAACTTGATTTTGAAATACCTTCAAATAACCTCCAAGAGATATATAGTGATTTATTTTTTGGTTCTGTCACAAATCCAGTGTAAGTATATGTTGTAACAAATTCATCAAATGTCCCAAAGCTGGAAATCATTTCAGTTTGAAAATTCAAACTCGAATGTTTCTACTGACAGATTTACATTTTTTCCAATCATACATATTTCATTTTGATTTTCAGAATTCCTGAGGAGTTACACCCTCCATTAGCATATACCACATTGATTTATAGACTTTTATATGATCTAGCCTTGGATCTGTTCGATAAAGTAAATGTAAATCAAAGCATGTTTTCTGCTAAATCGCCACCTTTGTCTAGAGAGTCGAGCCTACAGGTAAGATATTTTGTAATGTTGGAAATAATAAAGTTGCCAGGAATTGGGACAAAGAGGTTTCTTAATTTTTTTACTTGATTACACTGTGTAGAGTAATTTATTGTAATCATTTTGAATTTATTTTAAAGTTATGACAAGTTAGGCATTGTTACAATATTTGAAACCTTAGCATATGACATAAATAATGGCAATTTGAATAAATGAAGAATGTTAATAATAATAATAATATCGCCTTTGTTTTTAATCGTGATACTCAATAGTACATATAGTGTTATAGAGTAGGTTCATATGGAAAAAATGGCAAAGTTCAAATCCTGTGAATTTTTCTTTCAGGGTGAAAATATTAATGGAAAAAGGTCAAATGTAAATTCTCTCAACTTGAATCCACCAACACCAGATCCCATCATAGTTCATCCTGGGGTTGTAGTATGTATGCTTCAACTTCTGCCTTGTATTAAGGTGAGTATGTGAAGGTTTAAATCTCGATCAATATTTATTGATACTGGTAATCAAAACTGAAGATGCACGTTTTTCAGGACGATTATTTCGAGATGTACTCTGGTCTGCAACTTTTTATATCTGAAATAATAAAATCTCTCGTTAGAAGTGAGAGAAACCAGCAAGTAATGTGTGACAAAGGATTCGCAGGGCAAATCCTCACGATAGGATCAGAACCTCTCCAAAACGAAAATCATGCTCTACACGGTTCTTTACAGTACATGTTGGAAAGATTGGCTGCTCAAGCCATAGAACCCAAGGATTTGAGACAATTCCTGAGGTTAGGGAATCCACTTTGTTGCCTTCCCTTGGGATCCAAGAAACCTGGAGGGCACCCAGTGCCTTTGACTAGGATAAAGACTCTGGTCTCCATGACGACCCCGAAAGACTTTCGAGCGCAATCATCGTACACTCTGCCACCATTCGTAGAATTCGATATGTCGGCAGAGGGCTTTGGATGCTTGTATTTGCCAAGCATTGCACCTCAGTCACCTTCCACGCCTAGCGTGGTGTCTGCGGTGGATAGCAGCGTCTTGGGAGGGATTGGCGCAGGAGATCGGATGTTTCCTCCCCAAACAGGTCTCAGCTATTCCTCGTGGATTTGTGTTGACAAATTTTCCGATCCTAGATCAGATCCCCATTGCGTGCGCCTACTTACTTTAGTGAGGAACTTCAACGGGACCCGAGAGGACCATTTAGTCTGTTTGTCGATTGTATTATCTGCTAGAGACAAAGCTATAATTGTTTCCACTCAAGAAACCCTAATTCCAAATCGTGAGTTTCGATTATTTTAATTTTCTTTTTTAATTTTCGTTATCCATTCGTTTGAGAAGTATCAATACTCGAGCAAAACTTGAATATTTAATATTCGCTCCATTTTAGATGTTGGAGAGTGGGAGCCAGACGGTTCTGGTGAGAATGGTGCTAGAGTTTGGTGTCCCGATATTCTTCAAGAAGGTCAATGGCATCATGTTGTTGTTGTCTTGAATAGGGCAGTATTGAAAAACTCATCGTTCTCTCTGTACCTGGACGGACAACAAATTCATTCCCAGAAAATGCACTACATATCGCAAAATCCAGGTGGTGCCTCTGCCAACTTGAATGTGGCATCTTCCGTATATGGATATATAGGTACACCACCGGCTTGGAGAAGATACTCACGATTGTGTTGGAAACAAGGTCCGTGCCATCTATTTGAAGAGGTAAGAAAATCTTTTGTTCAAGAGTCATTTCAAATTTTGAAATCAGTTGCTGCCATCAAAGCTTTTTCATGTTCTAAACTTTTTTTATTTCATAAATGATGTTTCTAAATAATATGTTAAATTTGAATTCAATTAAAATTTATGAAATCAGAAAATCAATATCTATTGAGCATTCAACATAAATATTTATAACAGAGACTAAACATCTCTATACATAAAACATATATGATACAAGAAAACAAATGATAATGAGCCAATCAGATGTTTTTTTTGTTTGTCAGAAACATCGTTTCAAAGTAATTTGTAGTTTATTATAAACAATAACTCATTATACCTTCTTTTTTTCGTAATTTGTATTAATTGTACTGGGAATGATACTTTGATTTATGGATGGTTTCAGTGGAATGAAATTTCAGAGATGAATGTTTATTTTTATTGATGACAGAATGAATTAATATAGTTATTTTCAATGTATACAAAAAGGAGTTGCTAAGAATGTTAATCTTTAGATGTAAATTGGAGGTAGGATAATGGAATGGTAATTTAAATGCACATTTAATTAATTTATTCTGCAAATATTTTAAGGAACGTATGATTCAAGTATTAGTGAAGTCCTTACAGTAAAATCAAAAATAAAAGAACTGTGTCAATTATTTTTAGGTTTTACCTCCTACTACAGTAACAAATATGTATCAGCTGGGCCCACATTACATGGGCTCTTTCTTGGCACCCAAATTGAATAGCCCCGAAGTGATTCAGTTAGTAACGGAAGAGAAAGTTGTGTTCGGCCTGAATGCGAAAGCAGTATCTCAGTTAACTTTGAACAAAATCAGAAAAGTTTACAGTAGAACAGACAACAAGTCTATTGCGAAACAGCTTGGAATGTCCAGCCACGAGAGTGCTACTCCCATTAGAATATTGCACAATTCTGCTGGTCATTTGGCGGGAACTGCAAGAACACTGGGAGGAGTTATCATTGGATATTTAGGTGAGATAATCTTGTAACAAATTCGTTTCTTGTAACCTGTAAAATTATTTTGTTTGATTCAGGTGTGCGAGTATTTTGTCCGAGACCGGTTGCAACTACAATCGATACTGTAGGAGGATGCTCTGTTCTCTTGGGACTCATTGCAATGGCCCAAGATGTAGAAAGTCTGTATGCAGGTGTAAAAGCTCTGGTCTGCGTAGTCCGTAGTAATAAAGTTGCACAAGCTGAAATGGACCGTAAAAGGGGTTATCAAACTCTTGCGATGTTACTGAGAAGAAAGAGGTCTCTATTAAATTCTCACATTCTCCATTTGGCCTTCAGTCTTGTTGGCACTGTAGACAGTGGAAGAGAGTCTTCGGCTATACCAAATCGAACTGCATTTCAGGTAAGATGTCTTTACAGAGACAACTAGTATCATCAAGAATTTTTCCTAATTTTGTCACTTGATTAAATTTTGATCCAGAGTTAGAAAATGTTTTCTGTTTCAAATTCATGTTTGTGTTGTGATATTAGATGCAAGAGATTCACTTATTCCTATAATCACAAACTTATAGTTTCGTGATGTCATCATCAGCAAATAAGGTTGTAGATGTGTTTGCCCCGCAGTTAAAGACAGAGGATGAATTTCTTTTGGAGATCGATGTTGATGCTTGGCAACTGACTGCCTTGGTGACCCTCATTTATCTTTGATGTTCGAGAATTGAGTCTTCTGTCGATTCCATAGATAACATTTTTGTTTTTTCTGGCTTGCAAACATTAAATTTAGATATGTATTGTATTTTCAATTATGCGATGAATTTGGTATATAATTTTCATATTACGAAAGACACAAATTCTTATTTTTTCAGGATCTTTTATGTGATTTAGAAGTGTGGCATGAGGCGCCAGGAGAGTTACTTCGTTCCCATTTGGAACACCTTCACGAGCTAGCTACGGAATCTAATGAAAAACGCAACAATGCCTGGGTCATGAGAGATTTGCAACTGGTAGAAAGACTACTGCACATATGCCCCGATGTCAAACATCCATCTACAAGACAAGTGTTATTCTCTTTACTAGGAATTTTATTGGGAGGTCAACCTAGACAAAACGATCTTTTACTTTTTGGTCAATTCATTTCATCCACTTTACCTTCATGTCCCCTTGATAATGAAAAGAATCGACATTTCGGCGAAGGTGATATGGAAAAAGATGAAGAAGGAGAAAGTATATTATTGAGGAATCGGTGCCTCGGTTTACTACACTCTATGATTTTTTCAAGTAGAAATCATATTGGAGAGGAGATTGCAAGAACATTGGGATTTGATTGGATACTGCTTTTCATGCAGTCAAATTTACATTCGACAACAGTGATTTGGGCTCTTAGGATTCTGGTTGTGATATGTTCCAGCCCTTCCTTGATGATTCGGTAAATATTTTATGTTTTCACATTAAACGTAAAAATGAGTATATTTTTTCCAACTTCATTTATTTGATGTTGGTGTAAATGACAATCGTATATTTGTTTGATACTTATGCAACTCGTTTGTTTTAGTTTTCGAGAAGGTAGCAGCAACGGCGGATGGCTTCGTCATACTGAACAGGTGTCTCATAACAAAATGGCTGTAGTTTTGGGATGTACGCTGAACAGTAATCAGTTCAACGACACAAAATTAGACACCCTACACGTGCTAGGATTCCAGTATCTTAATTGGATGTTGCCCCATCATTTGGAAATTTCGGAGATATATTTCTTATTAACGGCATTGATGATGGGTCAACCAGCAAAAGTATTACCTGCCGACACAAAGTTCGACTTGGACTCTGTTTGGGCTTTTTTATGGGGCGGTTCCATAAACAATCAAACGATCAACAGCGTAATGCCTAGAATAAATTTATGCCCGGAAGCTGTCGTTGTTCTTTTAGGAATGACTAGGGCCATTGTACATGCTGATGAAGGGTCCTTGCCAGAATGGCTTCAAAGTCACCCAATTTCAATTGTTCAGGTCAGTACTCTCCAGGTTATCAACTGGTTGATAATAATGAATGGTAATGTTAATTTTTAATACTTCTTCAAGGACTTTTATATATAAAAGTTGGGAGAAGCAGCAAGCGGAAAATGTGTACTTTTATGACACTATATTTCCATAATGGATATCGTCATGTTCAAGGGAGAAGCTACAACACCTTTTGCGAACCAATCTCAAAACACTGTGACAACTTGATATTCCTAAAATACAGTATTCTAATCATAATAATATCATTGTAGCTTCTCTCTTGAAAATGAAAATATCCATTGTCGAAATATAGGAAACGAGTACACATTTCTCGCTCACTGCTTCTCCCAAAAAAAGTTCAATTTTCATTTCCTAACTGGTCAGCACCTCTTTACTATACGCACAGTATATACGCCTATGTGTGTTTGCATCATATATTGAATTATACTGATGTTACATCAAGATCAGCTTTGATGTACATTTCTTTATAATAAATGAAACTACAAGGTATGAATGAAATTTTGATAAATAAAAACACTGCTGTACTATTTGTCCTGATAGAAATTTTGAAACTATCCATTGACATCGAGCATTTTTTAGGTTTTATTCCAACTGTACCACAATATGCCAGAATTTATGCCAATTTTCATGTCACCGGAAGTACTCGGAGCTTTGGCTGGAGTCTTATTTCCCTTGACTAGTGGTGGCGATAGTACCGAGAGTAGTGGTGCATCCACACCTGCTGGTGAAGAAGCAGAGACTGTGTTGATAGTTACTTCACCCCCTGAAGATTTGCCTCTCACGACTCACCCTGTTCAACAGTTCATCATAGACTTCATAAGGGTGATAGTTGTGGATTCTCTCAGCTTGCCTGTCACTGGTAAAAGTTTGCCAGTGATAGATTTAGTGTTGGACGCTTTTCCAGAAAACTCTCCTAACTCCCAACAGATATGCTACCAGACTGAGGTGCTAGTTAGTCTCATGAACCATCTACTCGCGGCTGATATGTTAGTTGGAGATCAGGCAGCTATTCCTATTGTACCCTTGCCGAATGCCCACATCCAGTACGTGGCTCCAAACGTTTTCTATTTGACTGCAAGAATCGTAGATAAGCTTTGGCAAGGGTTACTCTCCAAAGATCCTCATGAAGTATTTGACTTCATCGTCAAATTGATCGGGCAGGCTAAAAGGAGAAAGGGAAACTTATCTTCGGAAAGTTTATACCACTGCTTGAATAGAAGTATTTTGTTTTTACTTTCGAGGCCTACTGATAGTATAGCGGACCAGATGTCGGTTTTGGAGGCACTTCACAAACTTACAACAAACAGGTTAGTAATTTAATTGAAATAATGCCATGTCATAAGCAAACCCCAGCTTATATGTTCTGTTTTCTCACTGTTTCCCTAGAGCTGATGAACATAACAGAATCACTGAAAAATAAATTACCAGTAGCATTTGATGGAGTGGCATCGGAACTCTTAATATGTAATCAGAAATCTAGAAAAAATGAACTATATCTTAAATGCAAGATGCAAGTCAACGAAATACAAACCACCGTTAATGATTAAAATTGTTTGACAAAAAAAACGTTCAATTATATGAGATTGAAAATTTATAAATTATTATTCCACTACAGCTGAGTAATTGCCAGTCCAAATAGTTTTGAAGAAAATTGAGAAAGTTTGTTTGCAACTTACCTCCACTTAAATTACACTTGCCTTCAATACTATCAACATTATGTAATATTATTGATTTATTTCCTTTTTTTACATGCTTTATTTCCTTTTTTTACATGCTTCATATTAGCTTCACCTGTATATATGCTTGTTTGTATGTATGTTTGTTTGTAACTCTCAAGCAGAATTATCGGCATTATTGCTTGATCTATTGCGGGCAGATGGCTCTGTACGTAACCTACTCAATATTTCTTGATCTATTCGCGGGCAGATGGCGCTGTACGTAACCTACTTGATATTTCTTGATCTATTCGAGGGCAGATGGCGCTGTACGTAACCTTAATAGGTTATTCAAAAGAAAATCCAAATAATAATATAGCAGTAAAAACTAAAAAACACGCTTTTATAGTATATGAAACTTAAAAGTAAAAAATAAATCTAGTTTAAAAAACTAAAAAAAAACGTTTTCAAAGAACATCGAACTAAAAAGTTAAAAATTGTTATTTTTTAAATAAGTTTAAAACAATAACGATCGAAAAATACGAGTATTATTGTGAAAAAAGCGTGGACGCTTTGTGCAATATTTTTTGGTTATATTTTTACCTTACTTATGTTATAATCTGGCCTCTTTGCCTCTTGATTTTTTTGGTTTTTAGTCATGTCAATATTTTTATACCATCAACAGCTGTTTGGCTTTGTGTTTTTTCATGTAAGTATATGTCACAATATGTATTTCATCACAAATAAATTAATATCATGATTATATTCGAGGACACAATATGTGAACGTCATTTGATGATTTCAGGTTAATTGTATTTGGAGCTGGGAATCACGAGTCAGACTTTATTGGATGTCTCACTTACTGCCTTCTCCAATTGACAGCCGACATAAAAATCATGTTGGATTCCAACATGCGAACTACTTGGCACGTGAACCCTAGTAGTGATTTGGAATCGAGGGATGAACAGTTGAACTCGCATCAGGGCAGAAATCTAATGGCAGGTGCCGCACTAAGAGTGTGGGAGGAACTGTACATTTGCAAAAAGCCGGCCATCGAAGAAGCATTTAAAGTTACTCTACCTCAACCTCATCCCAATTGTAAAGCACCGGATCTGGTGGTAGTGAGGTAATTTGTTGATGAAACCAGCACTAAAGTTGTAATACTTTTATTTTATCTTTATAGGGAACAAGTCCTAGAAGCCGCCTCAAAATTGTGGTTAAATTATGTAGAATGCGAGAGAAAAGCGGCTTACAGAATTCCGTTTGAGCTGCACAATCAAATCCAGTCCAAAATTCATAAAGTTACGGGTGGACTGACAAGACTAGCTAGTAGAACCAAGGTTAGAAAAGATGATACTTTGAGGATCAGAGTAAGAATGGAAAAAAAACATGCATTCGCTTGGATGACGAGTCGTGTGACGTTGTTGAAGTAAGTTATTGTGAACATGAATTTATCATAACATATATTCTTTCACTGGCTATATGAACTGAGGAGGACTGGAATTCTGTTAATGTTCCAAATGATTTCTAATCCTCATCTCAAATGTTGTAACCATTTATGTTGTAAAAATTTCAAGGCACTGATATTGAATATTTTATTCTCATTCTCATTAAAAAAACCAGCAAAATATCACATTAGATCTAATATAATATAAATAAAATACCTTGGCGTTTATATTGGCAATAAATTGTGTTGAGACATATATTATTGAAATACTCTGAAGGTATCCTAAATTGAAACAAGATGTAGGAAACATTTTTCGGATTCACACATTTAGTTAGTTGAAATATTGTCAACTTCCTTTCAGAGATTTAGTGGAAATGAGAAGGCAACAGCATCAAAATACTACCCAACATACACAGCGTTATGTTCACCAAGAATGGCTACAAACGGAGAATGATTTGACTCGTGAAAGAGGTCTCTGGGGTTCACCAGAGCCTTGCTATCTAGACAAGTGGATGCTGGACATGACCGAAGGGCCGCATAGAATGAGGAAAAAAACAATGAAAAATGATTTGTTTTATTTACATTATCCATTTCGATCTGAGGAGAGAGGCCTCTTAAAGTACAAGGTAAAACTGTAAGAGTAACTAGAAAATTGAAAACAAAATCTTTTCAGAAGAGAAGCTATTTTGCTTTCTACTTCTCCATCATTAAACAAAAAAATGAGAAAAACTTTGTAAGGTAGGAAGAAAGAAAATGACTAACAATAAAAACTTTTTATAGAGATATTTAGGTCATACACACAAGTTTGTTTCAGATACAAATTGTAAAAAAACTCTTTTAAAACATCTTCTTTCACATGAACATTGATTTAAACGAAAGGAAAAAGTATTTTCGCAACAAGTACTTCCATATGAACATTGAATTGCACGAAAATCCGTTTTTCCCATTCACTTTGTACTACAAACATTCGTCATGGAATTTAAACAGATATCATCCATTGAAATGCTACACAATGTAACATATTGAAGATTATTGATATATAATGTCACTTGACTGGAACACTATCATCCTCAATGGTGTACTTCGGAGTTTTGGGACAAGGCACTTATCACCTCATTGAATTGAATTGAATGAATGGAATTCCTAAGGCTAGAATTGAATGAATTTATTATAAATAAAAATTTTTTCCCTCCTTTTCAATTTAAATGAATCAACTAACGATATGAGTGCTTTACCTTGGATTGTTATCCAAAACGGTGTTGATGATCAAATTGTGAAGCATTTCTATGAGTGATATCTTTTTCAATTCCATGCGAAATGTTTGTAGTACAAACTGAATGGGAAAAAATGATTTTCATGCAATTCAATGTTAATATGAAAGTAGTTGTTCTGGAAATTTTTTTTCTTCCACTCTGTATCTAAAAGAAACTTCTATTTATGATCTGAATATCTTTATAATGAGTTTTTATTGCACCTGTATATATGTATGTTTGTTTGTTTGTCAGTTTGCTTGTATCTCTCAAGCTCGGGATCTCTATTTGACAGAATTAACGATATTAATGCTAGATCTATTCGCGAGCAGATGGCGCTGTACGTAACCGAAAATATTAATGGTCATTTTTCTAAACAATATATGGCTGATTGATCCTAAAGTTTAGATAATGTTCCAGATGAAAACTATAAATTTTACATGAAGTGAATGTGCACTTATTGAGAATTGGCAAGAAACTAAAACCGTATTTTGGAATTTATAGGTGGCCACAAGCTACCACAGCAAAGAATATTTCAATGCAATCCAACTCAGGAAACATATCGGTGTCAGTGGAATGATGGAAACGGAGAGATCTGATAGTGTAATCGAAGAACCGTCTCCAGTCCCGTACACTCCAGCACTACCTCAACTTGCCAGATTAAGATCTGATCCCGAGGATCAGCAAGAGGATATTGATTTGGAGGAAGAACCCTCTCCACAGCCCGACAATCAGACATTGCTGAGACTGCTTGAGGAAAATGAAAAGGTAAAGAAAGTTCATCTATTTTGACATAATAACATGACATGTTATAACATGTAATGACAAATGTTAGGGGTTATTAAAGCCATTGAAATTGTATAGAGTGCACTGATACCATACATCAGAGTTTGTTGTCTACTGTTTGATAGTATAATTACAAACATAATTTTTTATTTTTTTTTCAAGATAACATACATGTTCAGATGCGCGAGAATACAAGGGTTAGACACAACTGAAGGATTATTACTATTTGGTCAAGAACATTGCTATGTAGTAGATGGATTCACCCTGTTGAAAAATCGAGAAATTCGTGACATCGACAGCGTACCTCTCAACACCAATGAGTATGAACCCATCTTACCGAACCCTGGTTCGCCGAGAAGTTCCCGAGCTATGAGACAGTGTTCTCGATTCTCATACGAAGATATTAGGTGAGGCAAGTCCGAACTGTTCATTAATTGATTCAGTGAATTTAATTTGAATTGGTAGTTTTTGTAAAGCCTGATTCAAGGACTCAGTTGTATTTCTATTTCAGGGAAGTGCACAAGAGAAGGTATCTTCTTCAACCGATGGCATTAGAGGTATTTTCTGGGGATGGTAGGAATTATTTATTGGCATTTTCCCGAAAGACTCGAAATAAAGTATATCAAAGGTTCATGGCTACAGCTACAGGGATCGCCGACAGTGCACAACAGTCTGTAGCTGGTCAAAAACGAACTGCAAATGTCGAGCAAGCTACCGGGTTATTGAGTAATTTGATTGGAGAAACGAGTGTTACACAAAGATGGGTGGTAAGTAGTAACAGACCTTCAGGATGGGCAAAAGTTGATGATTCAATCATTTTATATTATCGTGGTCACTCTCATTGGAATTATTTTTTCAGAGGGGTGAAATATCAAATTTCCAGTATCTCATGTATCTGAATACTTTAGCCGGACGATCCTACAATGACCTAATGCAATACCCCGTCTTCCCTTGGATCTTGGCGGATTATGACTCTGAAGAATTAGATTTGACAGATCCCTCAACTTTCAGAGACTTCACCAAACCAATGGGAGCACAAAGTCCCGATCGGTTGGAACAGTTCAAAAAACGATTCAAGGTAGATATTTCAGGAAAACGTTGTGTGTGGTTGGTCAGCTCATTTCTCACTTTCTAGGAATGGGATGACCCTCATGGTGAAACTCCTCCTTATCACTATGGAACCCATTATTCTAGCGCCATGATAGTTTGCTCGTACCTGGTTAGGCTGGAACCTTTTACTCAACATTTTTTGAGACTACAGGGAGGACATTTCGATCTGGCCGATCGTATGTTCCACTCAGTGAAAGAAGCCTGGCTCTCAGCTTCAAAACACAATATGGCTGATGTCAAAGAATTGATTCCAGAGTTTTTTTATCTGAATGAGTATTTATCCAATTCCAACCATTTTGATTTGGGTAAGTTCAACGAATCTTGATGGGTCTAATAAGAAAAGTAAATTGTCATATTTATATAACTCCTCATTATCACAAAAGCTCTCAACATTCAGTAATATTCAAAATTAACATTAAGGTACTATGACAACACAAGTTAATTGATGAGATATCTCTGTTGAATAACTATAAGTAATTATGATTGAGAGTTTAAGAGAACGTTAAATTTGTAACTAAGTAATAATGATTTTAAAATGTAGCATACCAATTATACTATATATTTTAATTTTAACGTTATTAAATATATCTTTTTGTGTGTTCAAACAATGTTTATATTAGCCGATAAGTTTTTTAAATATTTAAATGTTGTAAAAGTTTATGACTTGCTATAAATTTACATCATATTTAAAATGGTCAATAAATTACATGATTCTACTATGTTAAAATTCATTGTTCAACTTGTCAGAAGAGAAAATTTTTGAATTTACAGAAAAAAAAACAAAATAAATAAACTAGAATGAGGAACTACTTCAAGGATGAAGAGTATGTGTGAAAATATATATGACAAAAAATCTTATGAAAATTGGCAATGAATCCTTTCATATTTTCAAACATTTTTCAAGGAG